TCTTTTATTTTTTTAAATTTTTTTTTATCGTGTGTTGATTTTCTTTTTCTTTTTTTTATGTTGATTGATTTTTTCCTTTTTTTATTTTTTTTCATGTTGATGATTTTTTAATTTTTGTGAAATTTTTTTCATGGTTGATTGCTTTTTCCTAATTTTTTTTTAATTTTTTTTCATTGTTGATTGATGTTTCCTTTATTTTTTTAATTTTTGTTCATGGTTGATTGATTTTCTTTATTTTTTTTTTCATTGTGTTGATTGATTTTCTTTTATTCTTTTAATTTAAAATTTTTAATTTTTTCATTGTTTGATTGTATTTCTTAATTATTTTTTAACTTTCAATGAGAGATTGATTTTCTTTTTTTTTAATTTTTTTTCATAATTGATTGATTTTCTTTCTTTTTTTTCTTTTTATCATGGTTGATTGATTTTCTTTCTTTTTTTTTCATAGTTGATGGATTTTTTTTTTCAATTTTTTTTCATGGTTGATCATTTTCTTATTTTTTTTTAATTTTTTTCATGGTTGATTGATTTTTTTTTAATCTTTTTCATGGTTGATTGATTTTTTTTTTTATTCTTTTCATTCAAATCAATCAACCATGAAAAAAGTTAAAAAAATAAAAAAAATCAATCAACCATGAAAAAAATTAATTAAAATAAAGAAAATCAATCAACCATGAAAAAAATTAAAGAAAATAAAGAAAATCAATCAACCATGAAAAAAATTGAAAAAAATAAAGAAAATCAATCAACCATGAAAAAAATTAAAAAAAATAAAGAAAATCAATCAACCATGAAAAAAATTTAAAAAAATAAAGAAGATCAATCAACCATGAAAAAAATTAAAAAAAAGAAAGGAGATCAATCAACCATGAAAAAAATTAAAAAAAATAAAGAGGATCAATCAACCATGAAAAAAATTAAAAAATAAAGAAAATCAATCAACCATGAAAAAAATTAAAAAAAATAAAGAAGATCGATCAACCATGAAAAAAATTAAAAAAAATAAAGAAAATCAATCAACCATGAAAAAAATTAAAAAAAATAAAAGAAATCAATCAACCGTGAAAAAAATTAAAAAAAATAAAGAAATTCAATCAACCATGAAAAAAATTAAAAAAAATAAAGAAAATCAATCAACCATGAAAAAATTTAAAAAAAATAAAGAAGATCAATCAACCATGAAAAAAATTAAAAAAAAAAAGAAAATCAATCAACCATGAAAAAAATTGTAAAAAATAAAGAAAATCAATCAACCATGATAAAAATTGAAAAAAATAAAGAAAGTCAATCAAGAATGAAAAAAGTTAAAAAAAAATAAAATCAATCAACCATGAAAAAAATTAAAAAAAAAATCAATCAACCATGATCAAAATTAAAAAAAATAAGAAAATGATCAACAATGAAAAAAAAATAAAAAAAAATAAAGTTGTTGTGTTGTTGGAAAATATAAAATTGTTCTTATAAAAAAAAGAGTGTAATATTTTTATTTCATCTTTCTTTTCGTACAATACCTTGCAAGTATTCAAGAATTGTGTGATGATAATTGCATAATGTAACTAATGTAGAATGACTTTACCATGTCAGTATCGTCCATCAAGATATCTACATCTGTAATTTGGAAGCTTGCCATCTCTCACGACGAGACTTGACCACCTTTTTCTGTTAGGATTCGAGAGCAGACTAAGGATAATTGGCAAGGTGTGCTCTTTTATAGCTGTCAAAAGTAACACAGTCAGGGGGGAGGGTAGTAAAGATAAGTTGAATTAAGGCTGGTTGTTCTGATTTGTTTCGAAATATTCAAAATTTAATCTCAAATTATTCGAATGTGAGCATAAAATTTCTTAAAGGGCGTTTCACAAGATTGTTCGAGATTGCAATTTACAGTAGCTCAGCCTTAGCTTGCTCTTAATTTTTGACCAATTCTGAGGCTCGTGTTCTTATAAAAATGTACTGATAGAAAATAAGTGAACTTGGGGATGTGCTGCAAGCAAGCGTATACTTTTTCGGACTTCTAGTTTAGCAAGGGTATTTTTTTGCTAATTTTGTCAAGCCAAGGTGTAGCCAAGGGTATCATATTTGCCAATATTGGTCTAGAGAACAGCTTTAGGAAATAGGAATTTTGTCCAAGCATTCCATTTTTATTGATATAAATGAAACAAATCCACCTTTGACAATTCCGAGAAATCTGCTAACTTGAATTTGACAACTTTGAGAAATCTGCTAACTTGAATTGCTAGAAAATGAATCTAAAAGAGGGTTTCCCTTTTCAATATTAAACTATACCAAGGATAACATTTTTGTATAACTTGGTTGAGCCAGTCTAAATTGCTCTTGACCAGTGTCCTCTAATGTGTTCGAAAACAAGAGAAGGTATTTGTTTTTTTGGGTCTTGCCATAATGTTTTAGCTGATAATTAAAGGTCTGATTAATTTGATACCTCAAGGTGAATTTTGATAACTGCAAATGAACCCCAACCCCCCTGCATTTCTGAATGTATATAAGATGTCAACGTGACTCCCAGGAGCACCAACGACACTGTGGCAAAAAGGGTGTATCAGTTTATCCATGCAGCGGAGATCATTTTAGAAAAATAGGATTTACAAAGATTTTGGGGAGATTTTGCCCAAGAGGATTTTCATTGCCCAATGCGACAAAGAACAATAAGATGCGTAAAACCTCTTCAATTGATCACAACTAATCATCATTGTCAGCTCTGGATCAAACTATGAAATTAAGTTAACACTATCTATTGTTTGGTCCCTGTTATACTTGATGTCAGGATGAAATTTTCCTTTTAAAACAAAAAAGATTCATTGCGAAAGATCTTTAAACTATGTATATATATATCAATTTAAAGTACCGAATACCTTTGTTTTGGGGTATGACATCCGCAAGTGTCAAAAAAGTTTTTTGCTTGCAAGATTTCTCGTCATTCTAATTTGTGAGTATGTTTTATCGGAGGAAAGTTTAATGGTCAATTTATTTTTGCGATTTCGTGTTTGGAACCGTGAAAATATCCAAATAAATGGTAAGTGTTTTCCAACAATGGCTAGAAATTGATAAGTGGTGGTTCCAATGCTCTTAAACATATTTAGTTAGTTAAAACCGTAAATCTTATTTGACTCATCAGCTTCTTAATGTCTTTTCATTTGCTTGCGGCATAGCTGCTAGTTACCATAAATCCTCAAATTAGCCCCCTGGGTGCTTTCTATATTTTTGATATTTTTGAATGAGGGTTAGTTCGAGGGGGGGGAGGGTTGACGAGGGGGGACTTTTAAAATTGTTGTACATATTAAGAGGACCTTATTAAAAGACCTCGTTTATTTTGTAGATATTTCTTCATGAGCATTTAATTAATTATTACCAAATGTATGAATTTGTTATGGTAATTCAATAAAATGCCAAAGGCAACCTCAAATGGCAAAAATTAATCAAACTGAGGGGTCCAATTCGAGAATTAATGGTAGCATTGGGGGCTTATTCGAGGGGGGCATATTGACAATTTTAGTTCTAGAGTGGGGGCTTATTTGAAGGTAGGGGCTCTTTTCAAGAGGGGTTGGCCAATTCGAGGATTTGCGGGATGTCATTTTAAGCAAAGACTCATAACTAGCTAAATCATTCAATGGGAAGTCCTATCACGTTAAATGTCTTTGAAATCATCGCAATAAAATGCTCGAAGATAGAATGCGACTGGAAGAGGAGTCAACTGTAAATGGTTGTATGTAAACTTTGTAACGACTGTAATTAAACTATTTTTTAAATGTAAATCGATGGTATTCGTCTCTTTCAATATTTTTACACCTGCTTGAAGGTCCTCTTTTTGCTCCTTGACAATTGCTTCATTTTGATAGAATTCATCAAAAAGGTATAGAATGCGTGGATATGGAACCTCTACGTACTAGCCTGCGTGCAGTCTCTATTGTTAGATGGAGGGGAGGAGAAACAACGCAAATCTGCTGAGTAGAGTCTGCGCATCAGCATGCAATTACTTGTTCCAAAGAACCATATTGTAAGAGTACTTCATCTTGCATAACCCGAATTGCATGGAGTTGTTTTACGTTCTCAATGGCGGTGAGTCACAGCAGTGACCAAAAAGAAACCTAGAGTATGTCTGGAACGAATCTAAGTTCACCAAAGCAATAAAGATGGTTTGTTGTTTCTCTAACATGGATGAATTCAAGGATAATCAGGAGAGAGCTTTGTACAGCTTTTTCAAGTTCAGAAGGCATAGATAGATAGATAGATAGATAGATAGATAGATAGATAGATAGATAGATAGATAGATAGATAGATAGATAGATAGATAGATAGATAGATAGATGGATAGATAGATAGATAGATAGATAGATAGATAGATAGATAGATAGATAGATAGATAGATAGATAGATAGATAGGATAGATAGATAGATAGATAGATAGATAGATGATAGATAGATAGATAGATAGATAGATAGATAGATAGATAGATAGATAGATAGATAGATAGATAGATAGATAGATAGATAGATAGATAGATAGATAGATAGATAGATAGATAGATAAATAGATAAATAGATAGATAGATAAATAGATAGATAGATAGATAGATAGATAGATAGATAGATAGATAGATAGATTAGATAGATAGATAGATAGATAGATAGATAGATAGATAGATAGATAGATAGATAGATAGATAGATAGATAGATAGATAGATAGATAGATAGATAGATTAGATAGATAGATAGATAGATAGATAGATAGATAGATAGATAGATAGATAGATAGATAGATAGATAGATAGATAGATAGATAGATAGATAGATAGATAGATAGATAGATAGATAGATAGATAGATAGATAGATAGATAGATAGATAGATAGATAGATAGATAGATAGATAGATAGATAGATAGATAGATAGATAGATAGATAGATAGATAGATAGATAGATAGATAGATAGATAGATAGATAGATAGATAGATAGATAGATAGATAGATAGATAGATAGATTAGATAGATAGATAGATAGATAGATAGATAGATAGATAGATAGATAGATAGATAGATAGATAGATAGATAGATAGATAGATAGATAGATAGATAGATAGATAGATAGATAGATAGATAGATAGGAAATTACTGATTAAGTTACCAAGACAGTGACCCCCTGATAACTATCAACACCTGCTTCAATGATCTAAGACAAAAGTCATATATCCACCAATCATCGTTTGGCTTGCATAAAGATAGTTCTGTATTAACTTTGAATCACATTTCAGCATGATCTCAAGATGGCAGAGCGATATAAAGTTCCTTCTCATTAATATTTTATTTTTCTTGTTCATCATCACAAAATCAGCTGTGTTGATAAAGTAAATCTCAATAAATACTCTGCAAGTTAAAACTTCGTTTAATTGGTTAACTTAAACGGTGGAAAATGCAATCGTCGCACGACATTCTAATGTTCAAATTCAATCGATAATCTCTAAATTATGTTAGACTACGATGTTATGAAGGCAACGAACAATAACAAACAATAAAATGATCTTACTATGCGCACCACACCTACCCCGCCTCCGCCCCCCTTCATCTAAGGCAATGAAATGTGCCGGTAGTGTCGAGAAAAATCAAAACGATTCAACTTTTCCTAAGTCATTACGGTGCCGCAACCGTAATGGTTGCGGCTTCCGATGATATCGGGAGAGGTAGTTTCAATTTAAGTCGAATGGTTGCGGCATGCCGGGGAAAATGGCTCCGGCAATGGCTGCGGCAACCTTACGGCATTCCCTCACTCTCGGCTTTTCAGATATACACCTATTGATCGCCATTGATTTTTATCGCAAATGCGATTCTACTTGAAAACACATGAAAAAGAAAAGGCGAAACCTTTGATTACCAAGGCAAAGATGCTTCATGAAGACAGTAAAAATTGAAAATGACCTATGTCAACAAACTAATTTTTCTCTAACGTTCTTTTCTAGAGACGGTTTGGGTTCGTCACATTAACGGATGTACTTAAAAAAGTCTTCTTATATTCACAAAAATGATTTTATGAATGCATTAGAATAGTTTGCTTGCTACGTTTCCTCAATTTCTTGAACTGTACAAGCTTACAATAATCTTTAAAAGTCTTTACCTGTATATTTAGAATGGTTACAATAGAATTGTATAGAGCATCATCATTAATATTCAATGGCCTTTGGAATATTTAAGCACAAATCAAAAATCACATTTATAACTTAATTCGCTTTCATTTCTTGCTGGCTGGCAAAAATTATACAACTAGAAACTCAAATTACTGCAATGCTTCTGCAGAACACCTGTCTTGAGCAAAGTGTGCAATTCTTGTTATTTCTTTACTTCATCTCCTGACGCTGAGATTATAATTGGTTCAATTATTTTCGATGGACTCCAGGCAGATATTATAATAGACGTAGAAGCCTGGGACACAGAGGGCACGTGGCCACATTTTTTAGAAGCAGAGGAAAAGTGCCGATTTGCAGCTCAAGGATGTGCCCCTTTTTTGCCTTCACGTGGCCTCCCCATGTAACGGTTGCGTTTAGGTTTGGCAAGGAGAGAGACAAGATTAAACAGACGTCACTTCGCTTGAATGCTCATAGACCGATCAATTCAATAACTCTCAGCATAAGACATTTGTTAAAATGGAACTAACATATTTCATATCACGTGACTCGTTACACCCACATCATAGAGTAGCCTGTAAGCAAACCCTATGGTGCTGAAAGTTGAATTGAACCTAAATCGACGAAAACATAGTCAGATGAGGCCATACGCTGACCCAATCACACAACTGTAATTTGGTATTGATTCTAAACTATATGCATATCATCATCAGGCTTTTTGCCGCAATTTTCTCTTCCAAGTTGGGGGGGAATGAGCTAGTCCCCCCTCCCACTTTTTCAGAAAGTTGGTTCTTGAGATTCTTGCAAGCCTGATGAGAAACCGTCGGGGGGGGGGGTATGTACGTTATCTAGATTGTCACATTTAAAAGATATTTCTTGGGAGACAAGAGGTGTTTCCTCCGGAAAAAAAGTTTCAAACAGGAAAAGAAGAGCATGGTCCAAAAGGGGGTGGTCCGTGACACACCTTTTGTCCCCCTACTTAACCCAGGCTGGTGCCGCCACTGGGTATTACTTTAGATTTAACTGTTAAAATGTCAATTTTATTTTTAAGACGTAATCCCGTCAGTGATATACAGTAGATATCCCTGCATCCCGTCTATAATTGCCTCCCGTCTATCATTGAATCCCATCTATCACTGCATTCCATCTACTATTATTGTATCACATCCATCATTGCATCCCATCTAACATTGTATCCCGTAAATTCGTTTCAAATCGAGGATTTTTTAATCAAGCCAAGGCTAAGAAAGCAAGATGGCGGCTCGCAAGATGTCAGGACTTTCTAAGACAGTTCGTGAATTGCGCATCCACCTTTGCCAAAGATCACCAAGCAGCCAAGGAGTGAGGTAGCTAGCCAAGACAGGCTTTCAAAATGTTTCTTTGCTTTTAGAAACCTAGGAAAATGTCAACAAATGTACCAGAGTAGCTAAATAATTTTGCCACGTCCAATTTTTGAGCTGATGAGTTCCTTTTGAATAAAAACGTTTGAGGCTTGTAACTATTTAAAAATTTTCTGATGACCATTTGGAATGAGTTTTTCTTATTACTGAGCAGTTAACTTGTTACACTATGAAACATGGCCTTGTGTCTTGCAGACAATAACACTTTGGTTTGTTGGTAATTTCTAGACAAAGTTCTGACAATTGCCAAACAGAACTGTAGGAAGGACATAAGCAGGGCCCCCGCAACCGGGGGGCCAGGTTGACCCTCACTTTTTTGTGATACAAGTAGTTAAAAAGCTGCAGTAAAAGAGGTAAGAACCCTTGGCCCCCAACTTTTTTAGCTGTGACCCCCCCCCCCCCTACTTAGCCTGCGTGCAGACTCACAGGAGAGGATGATGAGAGGAAAGTAGAGTCTGTGCAACCGAGTGTGTTTTCTTGTTCTTGCAGTTCTGTAAAATCTGAGAACCACTTCTCATTGGTCCTTCAGAACCTATTGTTCCAGACATTGTTGTCTAGCTGGTGAATAACCTATTCCTATTGTTCCAGTCCTGGTGAATTGCTTATTCCCATCAGCTTCAATGAGCGATAGAGGCAAAGGGCTACTCTTTTCCTCAACTTTTTGGTGGCCATCTTCATACCTTTTTTGTAGCTTCTCGGCAAGTTCTTTGGCCTTAGCTTTAGCAGAATGCCTTTGACATAACAAGGGAAGATAAATCTTGCAAACGAATCTGGACTTGAATTTTGCCTAAACTATGATCTTTCCAAATGATAGATCAAGTATATCTTGGGTGTTATAATTTTTGCCCTTAATCAAATTCCAGTCACTTTTTGTGGTCAATTCCAAAAGACAGATTGCACACTGTGGCTTAAATGTGGATGCCATGAATACTGTTTGTTTGATCGCTGTTGTTGCTATGTATCCATTTTTTTCTTCTTGATTGTCTGCCACGAGGCAGGTTCAGCACCATACCCGCCAACCATCATGATCTTCAGCTCTACGCTTGATTTCGCCATATGTTTCAGTTCTGCCAATGATCGAACAATGTCATTCTCTTCCTTCCTCTACTCCTTTTGCTTTTTATCTTCTCTTCATCCATAGAAATAGGAGAAGCGCTGAGTTGGCAGAACAAGAAAACATGCTCGGCTGCACAGACTCTACTTTCCTCTCATTTCTCTCTCTGCCAGTCTGCGCGCAGGCTAGCCCTGATTAGCAATACATCGTTCAGCATAGTGGATAATGTAAGTTTAGATCAAAATCAGGTGGTGTTATGTTCCTCTAATTTCTTTCATTTTGGAGGCTTAAATTCATTTAAACTAAACAATTACGAGAGAAGCTGAAATTTTTTAAACAAAACAATGAAAAACATGAAACTGTATGGATAGCTTTTCAGGTAGCCAGTTTCTTATAAACAAATGAGGGTACATTAAAATTTTGATAAAGATCAGCAACATGTTTGATTTGTCTCTGGATACTACAAATCAAGTCAGTAGAGCTTTGAGTTTGACTTTAATTGTATTTCAAAACATTGTTATTGCATGTGATAATCAACAACAAAAATTCAAGAGAATAACTTATGAAAGTTTTGGGCATTTTCTATCTATTAACTACTTCCTTATCATGACATGGTAACAATACGATTAAAGGGCTTAACAGTTTCTGAATATGCTGCTAAATGTCTGAAATATTTAAGCTCTCAAATCTGCTGGTTTGGCGAATTACACTGATATCTCCTCCATCTTTCTCCAGTGAACAGCACCAAAATTTGGCATTCATTGAATCAAGAAATTTTCTGCAAATGTTCATCCAGTAACAATTGATTACTGAAAAGGCTGAGAGTTTGGTTTGGTTTCATAAAATGATCCTGCTGACTGATTTAATTTCCTAACACAAAACATCTTAATTGATCAACTGAGGACTAACAAGGGCCCTTCGTGCTTTAACTTCTCCACATAGAGATATGCCTTTCAAGCTTAAAAATCCTGCCATTGTAATAAAAATCATGGGTTTCACACAAGTCATGGCTGCTTGACAATATGCTTGTGCTTGCAATTTACTTCCAGAGAACCACCTCCCATCTCATGGATCTATCCATAACAGCACATTCACAGGGCAATCGATTGCATTCCCTATAGAGTACTGAAGTGTGATGTCATCAAAAATCAATTTTTAGAATTTCTTAAATTTGGCCACATAATCTGAAAGAACGGCATAAAATACATCTCAATATGCAAAATTAGCTAGATAGATATGTTCCAAATTGGGCGAGATATGGCCAATGAAAGATTTCAAGTTTGCTAACGAATTACTGTTATTCTGGCCTGGTTCATTAAGTTATGAACCAAGACCAAATTACAGAGGTGTGATGGGGCAAGAGCCTGTGCTTAAGTGGCCATATCTCAGCCAATTCGTAGTGCCTTTGACTGATTTTGCATAGTTAAGAATATTTCATGATGCTCTTTCAGGTTCCGGGATCAAAATTCAGCGGAGGGCTCTATACCCTTACTTTGATCCAAAGGCGAATGGTCTTGAACTATTACATTAGGATGATAGGGCTTTACTCTTGCAAAAATAAGAATTTCTCTGGAAATGGATGGTCATGCCCAGCATAACAAGTATGGTTGCTGGCTACACCAGTATCTTTTGGTACTTGTTACTTCTCCACCTAAACGAACTTCTGTTATAGATATTTCCAAATATATCTACCTGATTTTTAACCAAAGAATGGGATGTCTGCTAATGTCTTATGCCAAATGTTTCGCTGATTTATTTTTTCTTTTTTGTTCTGTTGTTAACTAACAGCTACTAATCTTTCCATATTTTATAAGAAGAACTGCAAATTGATAGTTAAGTAGCAGGAACTGCAAAATGAGGTTTTTGACAAAGTTCCAATAAAGGATTTGATTGAAAGTTGTCATTCAGTATCATGTTATTATCTTGGAATGTTTAATGAAATTTCAATTTGCTTTCAAACCTACAAAAACTCAGATGCTACTCCTTTTATTTTAGGGATTTTGTAGAACAGCATTACATTGGTATAAAAAATGCAAATCCAGACTTACCAGTTTTGATCAGAGAGTGTAGTGGAATTCAACCAAAGTTATTTGCACGATTTGGTAAGTATACTATGAGGCTCACTTTATAATTGTTGATATACCAATAAACTACAGTAGTTTTGACCCTATAGCTGTTTCAGCAGAAAGTGTTACTCATTTCACCTCTATTTTGTTGATTTGTAACAATATAGAAAAAACTCTGTGAAGGCTAAGGATGTCAGTAGTATTGAGCTAGGACAGATAAAAAAATGCTTGAATGCCATGATTTAATGAGAATTCATTGCAATTTGAAAAAGGTCTAAAGCAATAGGGAATGATCTGCTTAAATTTTCCCAGGAATTTTCAGACAATGCCTATTTGGGCAATGTTTTAGATACTTGATGATATAGCCATCCAGCAGTAGGTCTATGGGTTCCACATTGGCACCATGGCAGCACTTTCACCTTGCAACTGCTTTAGCATTCAACAAGGCTGTTCAATCCAAGTACACCCCTTCTCCTCACATCCAGCATATTCACCTGATTTTGCACTTTGTCACTTAAACCTCTCAAAATGTGTGGACCAGGTTTATTTGTGCTGATGACATAATTTGCACCTTTGGAGATGCCTTTTGGATTTAACAACAGAAAAACCTTTCAATTTTGTTCAAAAAGCGTATTTAGCAAGAGGTGAAAATTTGAATGCCATAAATTGTAGTTTTAGAATATCGCAATATACCCTCAATTGACCACATTGTCATCATCATGTTGGCAAACTATTCAGTCTGTAGATTTCATTATATTTAGTTTTTATGTTCTTGGGGTTATATTTGTGAATTTCTAATGCTTGTAGGTCTTAAAAAGCAGTGACTATTTAGTTAATTTTTGGTTGCTAGATATAAGAACTTATTTTGATGACTGTATTTAGAGATAAGATGGGTCTTTTGTTTAGCCAGAATTCTTGATTATCTTGATTAAACTTGCTGTCAACTGATAATCATAGGCACTTTAATCATTCTTCTATATATTACCCAATACAGTGTAGATAAAGCTGTACATTTTTTTATAAAAAGAGCTGGACAGTTATAATTTAAAACACCAAATTTTGTGCTTAATTTCATGATTAGGCGATGATTTGTTTGATGACTAATAGCAAATTTCTTCTATTTTAGATTTTGGCAAAGAGAGTAGTGTATATTTAACAGATAAATCAAGCAGTGAAGTTTTACAAGCTGTAGAACAAATTTCAAAGGAGCAAAAGTGATTAATGTGAGCATGTTGCTGTGTTTAGAGTGAAAGTTACAAATCACAAATGATATAAAGCTTCATTTTCTTTGCCCAGAACAATACTTTTGATGCAAGTTATATGTTGCATGCTTGTATCTTTCTCCATAATTAATGACTTTGTAAATGATGAGAAATTGTTGACTGAATTTTATTAAACATCTGTGATGACTGTGTAACTCATTATTTCTATACCTATCTGTTGTTTCACATTAAGTATGTGTAACTTTCTAAAAAGAAAATTAAATCTTAGTAGTACTTTTTTTGCTTAAGTTTTGTATAGGGGCAAAAATTCTGGCCTTGCTAGGAGCAAAGAGCAGGTGCTTGACAAACTGAGCATCTCCAACCTTCTAGGCGCTTGATTGACCATCACCAAATATCAAATATACATTAACTTGGTTGGTTACATTTAATTTTCAGACATCATAAAGATATTAGGTGCTCAATCAACAAGCTCCTAGAACTTTATTGCATGTGTAGGTGCTTGATTAAGCTCATGCACTTCTCCTTGCAAGGCCTGCAGACATTGCTGCTGAAATTCAAACAAAAGAGTAATGCAGCAATATTGAAAGAAAATAATATGAGTCTTTTTTTCTACCAATTTTTTTCAATTAAAAACATTTGAAAATAACATAAATATAATCTGTGATTCTTCTGACAAAACATAATAATTTTGAAATCATTGTGCCAAAAGAACTTACCCTGTCTACCCCATTTCCTCAGTGCCCAACTTAATTAAAATATAAGAGGGTTCCTCTAGAACTTGTAGGAAATATTTAAATTCTATTATCTTGATTATAAACCCTGATGGCAATAAAATTCTAAAAGCTATAATTCTAAATAACTTGTTTGACATCACTGTGTTATTAAATAACTTGTCTGACAATTCATAAAATAAAAGAAGACACCATTTGGAAACAATCACTCATGGGTAATATGCAACTTTAATTATTTACCACATCAAATTTATTATTCGCCTGAGGCGATTACCTAGAAAACTCATAGAGTTGATTGAAAGTTTATTACTCTGATACAGTGTATAATAATACAACCGAAATGCAACTAAACAAAGTTTGATATAAAAGCTCTATGTAACCTTTCCACTCAATCCAACCTTCTCTGAAGCCTTTTTCACCTTTTCATTTGGCTTCAAATATATTTGTCAATTCAAAACAGGAAATCCCAATTTCCCTTATCCAGTCACCAAATAAGGTTTCCTTAAATAAATATCCAAATACTTATGTGACCTTTTAAAGTCATTGTGAGTACCAACTTGAACACTTGTGGTCATAAGAGCTTGGGTCAAACAATGCTTTTTATAAGACAGTTATAACTTGTTTTCCTTCGCTGCTATGTAGTTAAACAAATAGCCCAATAGAAGCTTAATAGAGCCTTTACAACATTGAAGCACTTATAGATCTGAATGATTTTCAAAAATTTAAATAAAACTTCAAGCAAAAACATTTATAGGATAATGTCATGTTCAAAAAGCAAATAAATAACTTTCAAAGCTGAACAATGAACAAATCTTGGCAAAGAAGACAATCGGACATAGTCTATTAGGATCACAGTGACATTGGCATTTTCACCTCTCATTAAAGCTATTGGTAATGAGAAAATAATCAGATGATGCTCAGGGACTGTCATTAAGGCAAAGAGTTGATAGTTAACACAAAGAATGAAGATGGTTGATCTAATGATTGCAAATAATCAGCTCTGGGAGGAAAATTTGTCCTTAACTTCAAGTAAATGTTGTCTGTACCAAGAAACCAGAATTCTGCTATTGGAAATTATTAGTCAGTTTCACTGGCAACAATACAAACATTCAGACTGTTGTTAAGGCTCCCGAAATCTGAAGCTCTTGTCTTACAATGTCATCCAGGACCATTCTCAGTGATCATAGCCTTACCATGCTAGTGTTACTTTTGCTCGGGTTATAAAACCAATGCCACTAATAAAGGTGTTACATAAACAGGTTTTGTAACAATTTGCTGTTGTAAAGAATATTGTAAATAGGGTTCGATTTTATAATTGTTGCCAAAAAATTAAACACAAATTTCATGTAGCTGATACTAATTACCTGAATAAATATCGCAGAAAATACATATTCAGTATGCGTCTTAGAAATGCCAGAAAACGGAAAAGGACCAACAGGTGTAACATGAATCCATATAAATGTTGTGTGTAATACTTGTTATCTTTACCTTATTACAAAGTCTAGTGGGACATTTCTTAATAAACATTATATCGAACTAACAGACAAAGATAACCAAAGATTCCACCTAAACAAAGTTAGATAAGCAGAAGAGAACAAAACCCCTACATGGCTACAAAGTGGAAACCAATAACACACACCGGCATTTGTAGGAGGCATACAGTCATTCACTTAGACATTAATTCTAAGAAAAAGGCAGTGAAAGTGTAGAAAAATTTGCGGTGAACTGAAAACATCTGTTGTTAGCAAAAAAAGACCATAAAAGGGGAAACAGAAAACTTGTTCTATTCTATCTGTATTCAAATCAATAGATCCTAGTGTAAAAGTAATTGCATTTTATCAAATTGAAACAATAAACTACAAGTTTCAATAGGGCCACGAGGTGACCTCAATGATTTTAATGATATCTAAAAATTTAAGGGTTTGTATGATAAGCAACTCCAAAAATCTAAATTAAAATTCATAATTAATTCTTTCAATAGACAAATGATCTGAATATTTTATAACCAAGCTAAGCGTCTTTTACAGGCTTTTACAGTGAAATTTCATACATTTGTTTCAGGGCCATCTGGGCCACAATTGAAAGTGTCACGAATTTTAGTCACACAGGAAAATACCAACCACGGGCCGATTGCTTTGTTGTAGTATCTAGGACTTTTGCCCCTAGAAAAAGTATGCACAATTACCAAAACTCTAAATAATAACATCTTCTTGTTACTAGGGTACTTCACAGTGTTTTGTTTATGTTGAAGTGTTATTATCAAGAAAGAAAACTGATAGATGAACTGAAATGTATAATGTTGGAGCATAACAATAATGGGACCAAAAGCATCAAGCAAGCAACTGTCTATAATTGAATTGGAAGACAAAAGAAATACCTCAAATCTGTCCTGCATATGTACGTCACTTTAGATCTGCCTAAACCTAAAGGCTCCATTAGACATCGATCTGCCAATACAATAGCTCTTATACCAGAGGACAAATGGACTGATCGATGATTTATTGAAGTAGTAACACAACCACAGGAACTCCCATTCAGGCATTTTCGCCATGATCTAAAAATAACATGGTTTATTCAAACATGTGGTTACAATTATGTTACAGGGTAAAGTTTGCAGCTTTCACAATCTTTGCAAAAGACAGTATATCATTCTGCAGCTAAAACTGCTTTCTTGAAAATTAACAGCTTCTGGAAAAGTAAAAGGCAGTGCTCTTCTCCTCTCCAGGGCGGCTTCCCCTCTCCAGTGCCGCTTCCACTTCTCCTTCCCCTCTAGACTTAGCTATTCAAAATGATTCAGTAAGAAAATTATGAACAAGGTTGGAAGGTGATAATATGTGGAGCTGTAAACATTTCTCCTAGTAAATTTCAAGTGAGCTATTTGTCTATCTACAAATATAGATAGAAACAAAGGAAAAATTGATTTCAAGGAGAGCAAATTGCTTTTTAGAGAAATTAAGGAGAGCAATCTGTAGCTCCCCACCCCCACCCCCCTCTCAAGGATTTGAGTAGAGCAGTAAGGGGAGCAACAGCTATTTAACTATCCTCAAATGACTAGGCCTTTTATATTGTAAACAGAAAATGATAATTTGCCCTTACCTTAGTGTTAAATAGTCTCTTTTTACTGAAGGTACAATCGTCTGTGTTTCACAATAAAATATATCAGTTTGATCATCTAAATTCTCAATGTATTCCCAGCTCACCATTTCATCATCCCACAAATGCCTGTTGTAAAAAAAGTGGGATCTTATTTTATTGTTTAAATTGGCAAGACAGGAAAAGGACTTCAAAGGAGAGAAGCCATAAAACAAAAAGTTTGATTACAATTATTAGCAATAAGTCTTGCAGAAGGGTGAGGGTCTGGCATTCCTTATGAAATGACACCAACCATGATATGATTCAGTAAAACAGGATGGCTTTAAAGTCAATATTCTCACCGTTCTTTGACAAATCTCCTGAGAATATCAGTGGGAGATGCATTGATTTCAACAACTGCCTTCCAAAGCTTTATTGGATAGCCATCTTTAACAGTTTTGTATGATACTTCCACATCACTATTGATGCTATGCTGCATCCAACCTTTTGTTTTTGACTGCGATTCCTTAAGAATAAATGAAAGCAATCTATTTAAAGGTTACTTTTCAAATGCCTCCATAACCAAAACATGGAAAACACAGTCTTCACCCTCTGGCAATGATGATAAAGCCAGGAAAAACCAACATCAATTTTTGTAATTTCAGTTTTCTGTGAACAAATATAAAGAATCAAAATCGAACTTTAGTTATCCAAGGAAACAAACAAAGGCTACTTATCAATTAAAAAGGGTTGAATTAAGCCTGCTCCAGGGGTGGAGGGGCAGCTACTCAAAAAGGGCACATTTTCAAAGACTGATTTTAGAATTATAACAAAAAATGATAAAATATAATACTTTGATACCAAGACAACGTTCAATCTAAAAGGCCAGTTTAAAATTTCCCATTCTGTTGTTTAGGCTTTTTCTGGGGGTACCTTAGCATGGTTAAAGGTAGGGGGATGTGCCATTTTTAAGGGGTATCTTTTTCTGAAAAGTGTGAAATTATCGGTAACAGTTTTCGAAATATATGCGGAACTGTGGGTACCAATTGAAGAAACATGCAGAATTATGGGTACCATTTTGGAAATATATTGCAAATTCATTCCGAGGGAGATTAAGCATTAACAAAATGAATGTCCAGTTAGAAATGAAAGTATGAAATATGTGCAAGATGAGATTTTTGGCAAAGGACATGCAAAAATTTGTTTGATGAGTTTGTTGTGCTTTGAAAAAGCAATTTGCTTTGCGGAATTATGGGTATAGTGCAAAAGATGAAAGTGCATGTGAATTGTACAATTGCAATGACTTTTGAGCTCTGACAGGCGTCCTCATGGCATTAAATTGAAGTCATGGTTGATCAAAGGGTTTCCATCTTTGTTACCTTCTTTATTGGTAGGGGCAACTTCTTTCTTATAAGTTCTGATGACTTTGCTAAAGTTCATCTCATTTTTAAAAGGTTTTGGATTACTTCAATTCAAGCTTGTATTAGTATTATCTTGGTGTTACATATTGCATTAATGTTTGACATGCTCTACTTCAGTCTGTTAATAGAGGCCCCATCTCAGTTTTCCCTTAGGATCCCAGATGCCTCAGTTACGCTACTCAACTTATTCTACAGTAATTTCCTAAATTTTAGAGTGTTGCCGAAAGAAATAGCATTATTGCATATCAGGTCATAACAAATGCACCCAATGTTTTAATTCCTTTCATTTTGTTCTTGACTGCACTAATGTTTTATCTCACCCAAGGACTTGAGATTATATATTTGCCTCATTCGCATAAACACAGTGCCATTTTCACAAGGGCACAGTGCTGTCCCGCTGCCCCCATGTTTCCGGCGCAACTGGCCTGCTCAATCTTTACATTCATTAGACTTGCCTCTAATCACATTATGATAATCTGTGAGACAAACTAAACTCACAAAACTCAAAACTATAGTAAATTTATGCATATATAATTCTATCAGGATTGTGACTTTCTGCTTTGGTGAAAGGATGGTTCTAAGTGGCAACTCCGAGCTTAATGCTAAAAAGCAATATACAGATCTGCCTATACTGCATCAAGCACCCTGACAGACTGGTAAACAGTAATTTTCACATTCATTGGCTATGTACAACAACAAAATGATAAATAGAGCAGGGGGTGAACTTGCCTGGGTGGCTAAGTAGCGATCTCCACCTGGGCCCCTAAGAATTTTAGGAAGCAGACCCTTCATAAGGAGCAATTTTTGAATTTATACATAAATCCATGATGATAAACTTGAACCTTGCTGATTGGAAACAATGGCTATCCCACCTAAATTCTCTAAACCAATTAAGGTTATGCATGTTGATATCAATTTTAAGAGTTTGTGAAATCGTTGATCACACCTATTTAAGGCCTGTTTACACCCCTGCAGCGCCTTTTAGAGCCACAAAGCCACCTTGGAAGTACAGTTCCAGTCCGTCCCTGTCCAGAACCACCGATTGCTATACTGGAAGTATGGATAAACTGATAAACGAATAAATTCATAAAGTCCAGCTCACCTGTAGAAGACCCGAGAAGCAATTTTCCAAGTATGTTTGATAGCCATCTTCAGAGTTTGCTTCTGAAAGATTACTTGACAAATCTTCCAAGAACACTGGGTCACCTTGTTCAATATATGTGAATCTGCATTTCATCATCACATCTTCAGGAACCTTGATATGAAAAGATTTCTTAAAGTGTAACTCTACATGTTTTATGGCTGAACAAAACAATTCACAGGCAAACGTTTAGGAAACATTTTCGTTACAGCATTGGAAGAAGGCAAACTGAGTGCTTTCCCTAGAAGTAGAAGAAACAAGTTTTTCTTTTCTATGGCTTCGAGTAGAGAGCGAGGTGAGTCATTTTTAGTTAAGAAGTTTTAGCAAACTGGCTGCATTATCGATAGTAACTTCATGCAGCAAAAAACCTCTTTCTACTGACTTCTTTGCCTCAAACAAGACACAACTTCAAAAATTAATATCTTTAGAGCAGAAATAATTAGCCTTTTTCTAGATATTACAGTCAATGAATAGAAGACAACAGCCTATCCTGACTTTAACTCATAGTTTATTGTTTCATCTGTGGATAAAGCACTAAAATCAACATGCAATAATATCAATAGTCATAAAGCAGTTACGTCAGTCTAACATGTCTCACTCAACTGACCCCTCCAGCCCTTTAGACAAAGTCAGAATTTCTCTGTCCCTTCTTATATGAGACCAATTTTCTATGTTCCCTGAACTTCCTTTTCTAAATTCATAGAAAAAATTCGCTAAAATGAAACTCTGGGTAAGTGGACCTTCACAATTCACCTAAACAATATAGCATTTGCCTAAACTGGATTGAAAGAGGGATAAGCAGCAGTATTAAATGGAAAAAGAAAATAAAAGTGGTATTGCATGTTTTTTGGCATGCATGGTATGTAGCAAGACCTGGGGAAGAACTGAAATTGTTAACAATAAACCAGTTTTGAAAGTCCACTTACGGTGAAAAGATCATGGAAGGTTTGCATTAGGTCAATAAGACACTGCTGGGCTGCCTGAAAGAGAAACATCATTAGATCAGATTTCCCTAAAGATGACACCTCCCTGCAGACCAAAAGTTCAGGTATAATTATCAATTAACATAGTTTTATGAAGACCTGTATGTTTGAATTATCATTATCAAGCTTTTCATTACTAAAGAACTCCTCCCTGTTCTTGATTGGCGTTTATCGCTGTGCTCTGTCACGGTTCGCGATTTTTGAATCTATAATGTCTTGTCTTGAACAGAAAAAGTTTTAAAATCAGTTACCATAAGCCAATAATACAATAAAAGAATTATATGCTATAGAAATTAAAAAAAATCAAAACCATGTTTTGGCTGGGCCCATATCATGATGGGATGTTATTGATCTCTTTCATCTCGTAACGCAATAAGTTTGAAATTAATTTAATTACCTTTACTTGATCTCCCGCAAGCAACAAAACTCAATGAAATCAATACTCATGTAAAAGTGTGCTTAAAATTTTATCTCTTAAACAAGGATTTCAACACAATGACTTTTCTCCTAATAAGAAGGAAATTGGCTTTTGATTAGTTTGTGTTAAAGTCAAACTCTACAAAAAGGAAAACCTCCAAATAAGAGGCAACCCTGAACACAATTTTAAACGTTATTAGAGATCTGGCATAAAATTTGAAATATGACTACAGGGCATGAAAGCTTATTTTTCTCCCTGCAACGGGGGGAAATCATGCATAAATTTCCTGCAAGAATGGGAAGATAAACGAAAAAAGGGTAAGGTTCCAACAACCGTAATGATGTGTCACCAGTTTTTTTATAAATAAAGAAAAAGCTACATTTTAAAGGTTAAGCAATTTTACTACCACTGCAAAATCAATTTCTGAAAATTATTCTTTATCCATGAACGTCTAAATTGAGCTGGAATAGCTATGATATTAATTTCCTAACTTGTGAGAATATTCTTAGGCCAGATAAAAGACTATATTTTCAAAAACATTCTCAAGGGTTCTCAGGTAGGAAAATCAATTTAACCTGTACATAAGATATAATACTTTTGTCTTCATGTCTTTTCCTTTTGATGAACATGAAAGAAACAGGTACTTCTTGCAAGAGGGTATTTTGTAAAATATTTCCTGCAGAACTTTATGCAGGAATAAATTTCCTGCGACCAACCGGTCGCATGGTCGGGTGGGTTTTCATGCCCTGTATGACTGGAAATTAAGATCGAATCATTAGCCTGTAGATGATTCATTAAGCAATGTTGCGTGGAAGCAGCTGTCACAAATTTCCGTAATGGGGGAAAAGGGCCTACGTCAAATGTAAACAAAAATAACGGGAGGGTCCGATCCCAAAGAGGGGCGGTTTTCTCTTCCCTCTCTTCCCATTAGGGATTCATTAAATCCCATCCGCAATGTGGTTGCAAAGTTCAGACACTCAATGCAAATATTATGCCTAGAATAATTTCCGAGCTACAGTTGCCTAAATCTCAATTTCCACGGACGAAATAAGCAAATTCCATTTTGCAGTTTACCCCTTCAGGACTTTCCTTTAGAGATGTGCCAATATTTTAGTAGGTCTGTAGGCAAACACTTCAGAAATTTTTCTTACAAATATAGGTTGGATTTGTTGCAGTTTTGCAGCGTCTAGAAAGTAGATAATCCTTTCCCTGGTCAATTTAGTAAAGCCTTCAAAACTTCTCTAAAACACGGAAAGAAGCCGTGTTTTGGCAGGTGTTGTAAATAGAATTTATTCATTTTCGAAGACATTTTCGAGGACCAGCTATTTTTCAGTGCTCTAAGCTCTGAATTTATAATTTTAACGCCATATCGGGTGGTCTTATGCATGCGCTCGCTACCTTCTCCAGATTGTTATGAAGCCAGGCAAAGCCATATTCACCACGGGGCAAGCAAGACCAATTGTCTAATGGACCCTTGCAACCATTTGAAGGGAAACATATGCTGTTATTCTCCCTATCGTTTTGCATCTGGCTAAAAATACAAAAACTTCAAAGATCGGTCTTGTATGTGCAGCAGCCAAACTGCGATTATTTGAAAAACATGACAGTGAACGTTTTCTACAGTAACAAGAAAAAGCAATACTTGCTTTGATGTCCTCGAAATCCTTCTCCGATTTAACACTGCTAAAAGTCCTTCGCAATCGCTTTGCATTGTTGCCTTTATCATCCTTAGTTCCGAAAATATGAAAAAATGCAGGTGCAAAGCAAACTGATAAATTCCTGTGATCCATCTGTAAAGAGAGCATGCATCATTAGTAAAAATAGCCAAAATAGTTCTAGGCGAAAAATTAGAATATGAATGATACTTGTATGTAATTGTCAATAAAAGATCGTATGCATGAAAAAATGGTATAATTGCATACAAATATCAGATCTATCTTGATCGTTAATTAACCATTTAACATGAACTTTTTTATTTTTCCTTCAGGGAGATTCCAGAGAGCACATTACCTGATTTTCATTCGAATTTGAAGCGAATTGATTAAGAAACGCTAATATGGTCTGCAACGCCTCTCTGTTTTCATCTGGCATGAGAATAATAGCTAACTTCATTGCCTGTTTTTGAAGTTCCTTTGGAATATCTGAAAACGAGTGGAAAATGTTACCATTTAATAATAAACAAAGACCCTGCGAGGAAAAACCACTAAAAATACAGGTAGAACAAGAATGCTATAACGATGTTATAACGTTCACTTTGAAATAACTGTTTGAATCTTCTTTGAATGGGCTTTTGTCGCCGTCGTATAGCAGCCCTTCTACAACATTTTAATTATATCATCACTCAAGGTTCTTAAGCGGATTCGACAACACACAATGATCATATGCGTATTTCCCTTGCAACAATTGTTTATTTATGTTAGAATCAAAAGCAACTACAGAAAAACACAGAATAGCGAGGCTGTTTTGGAGATGAATAAGATGCTAGATAACCTGGAAAATGGAGGAAAACAATGGAGGGAAATGAACATTCGTTACATCAGGAACAACAGGGTAAAAAAATCTGTACATAACCTCTCAAAATTTAGATTTTCATATAGCTTAGTCAAGATACTGGGAAACCAGTAATTTTCAAAGCAAGGAAGGACCCAAGCATACGTGTTCTGTATCGAAGATTTTTATGATCCTCTGGCAGCGCATATATTCAATATTAACCACTGATAAGAAGCAACAATGACAGATTAGAGATAATCAACTTTGGGTGTGATTTGACGCAGACACAGCAAAAGATATAACTGTCGTGAAACTTTCAAATTTGGGTTGTATTTTCAGCTTATACTTTTGTTTTAAATCCTTTTCAAACCTTTTAAAAATTTGCTGTAGTGGAGTTTTGAAAAATATTAACTTTCAACTACTAATTTTGGTTTTATTTTATAAACTATTTTGAAACGTACGGTTGCGAAATTTGATTAATAGCCGCTCCATAATGTTTAAAAGCTGCAAATTTGCTTTCGAGATGGAGCAGTCAAAGTTGATTAAAACAGACCAAACTACAAACTATAAAATTACCTGAATGTTTTAATTCCAAGACACGAAACTCCCTTACTTTAAGATCCTGTCATCCATCCACCGGATCTTAAGCCACAAAACCAGCCAATGTTCATGCGATAAAAGCAAACAAAGACAATAAGGGTTGCTCAAAATGTGCGAAACAAAAAAGATACCTTTATATATAGCAATAAACGTTTCTGCTAGTTTTGAGGTTAGAAGTGGTTCAGGAAGCTCTCGAAGGTACTGTTTCAGCATATCCGCAATATCGTAAGGTGAGTAAGAATCGAAAGCCAATTTGCTGTTGAATAATTCAATGTCTTCTTTTAGTTTCTCTATTCTTGATTTGACTCCAGATCTTCTAAAAATTCCAACAGTTGATAATGCCGTTCTGGTTAGAAATGCAATGCACAGTAGTATTGAACGAGGAAGGGGATGACCAGATCGCTGCACTGTTGTCAATAATGACGCACCAAAAACATTCCTTTCTCCTGGGCAAGAAACAGGCATGTCAGAATTTTTTGAGGGATACTTTTGTTAATAAACAAGAGGAACAAATGGGACTACTCTAAATGATGGGTTTTGATAAATTTTGGATAGCATAAGACCCCCCCCCCGAGACCCTGAAAATACAGGTAGCTATGGCCCTGCAAATGTATTGGATCCCATAACAAAAAATATACTGGTATTATTTATTTCCAACTACTTTGCCCAAACGTCCCAAATTCACGATAAAGTAAAAAGCAAGTTTATGGATATCAATTAAGTTAGCAACTCATAAATCAATAATTGTAGGGGCATGCTAAGTATAACAATATTTTCTTCCATAAAAAGTAACTTTTTGAATCAAAAATACTTTATTTTCTCAAAATAGCAGCGAATTGGTTGCAATATATAAGCGCCACCCTGTAACAAATACGTCATATCGATTAGGCACTGCCTTTAAGAGTGTTTAGCTTCATTAGGGCCGGGGGCGCTAATTTAAAGGAATCCCGCGCATTAGTAAAATAATTCGAAGGATGTATATGTATTTATCTAATTTTTTTCTACACTTTCCTCTGCACACACTTTATTTATTTTTCTGTTTAGTTGGATGATAATTCACGAATTCTCTTTTTTCCTTTTTGTAATTTTATAAAAGCAATGCTATTAAATTCATCAATGCTTTAATTAGCATGTTTGATTTTTGGTAGCAACCACGTCTATCGAGGTCATTATGCAACCACTGGCTCGAAGCTCTAAGGAATTATTTCTACATGCCCTCTTCAGCAAAGTAAATGTTAAATATTTGATGCGTATTTCCGGTAATCATATTACTGTATAATTATACTTTATTTAGCTTCTAGCATCTTTTGTTACCATGAACATAAAATATATATAAGAAATGAACTATTTATCAATAGTGAACAGTATAAAGATGAACTTATAGATATTTGAATACCTATTCCAGATTGCATTGTCTATTCTGACTTAACAGAGCTCGATATGCAAAGGCACAGAGCAATTGATATAGTAGAAAATAGGCTAGAAATGACGTTCATCAGATAGGCATAGGTTTATTGAGAAAACCCGTTACCATCTATTTTTCCGCCTCTTTTTTTCTAAATAGATACACAAACTTATAAGCGTCACACTTTCATGTTTCAAAACTAATAAGCGCTGGAGGCGGATACATATTTAAAAAGAAAAAGCAGTACTCTTTCTGCCGCATATCTTACCTCTGTTCTCAGGTGATCTTAAACGTCTTAATAGCTTCGGGATTGTCCTTTAAAAGCAAAGGCACGTATTGTCATATAGGTTTAAAAGAACTCATAAGTACTATAAAAAAAATGAGAGACACAAATTTTTTTGGCATAACAGTTTCAGAATATAGAGGTAACTTGGTTTTCAAACGAAATAAAAAATAAGACTAGTCGACCGTGCCTGACGAAAAGCAATTAAATAATCGACTAGCTATTAATAAAATTTGTTAATAGATGGCAAAATATAATTCCAAACAAAAGGTCAGTAAATTTTTTGTCATTAAATGGGGCTTCTGCCATGTGGCGATAGACAATCACTTAGAGCGAAGAATCGTTATTTGCCATTCTTTACCAAAGACTAACTCGCAAATCGATAGTGATTCTATGATTTTGAAACTACCTTAACGTTACCAAAAATTAACAATCGGATATTTGTGGTTAAAATGACGTTCCCTGTTGCAGAAAGGCGTTTTTTTACATTAAAAAGAGCGTTGCCTAACTTTTTAGTTTTTAGTAAAAGGTTTTTAACGGCACCTGCAAAGGTACTATTCAATGCTTGATTACAAATAACATCAAAAGGCTACATGAGACTTTTTTCAAAGCTAAAAACTTTTCGCAAATGATTTAAAATTTAGGACATGCAAAATCTGTCTGCGTGGAATTGTTGAGATACTTAATTTCCAAATTAAGATTATTTATAAATTGCAGTTCTGCTATGCGTCTGCTGGCAAAATTCACCTACCTTCTAACTAATCCGAACTTCATTTAATCAGAGCTTAGTTCAATTAAAACTTAGTGATGTTCCAAGCAATGGCAGCTTTGGAACAGGGGCCGACACTTGGTCAAATATTGGGGGCAAGCCTATTGTTTTTATAAGATGACGTCATATTTCCTATTGTTTTAGAATAAAAGACCATTGCCCTCTAAAGTATTGGGGGGCGATCGCCCCCTCTCGCCGCCCCAGGTATCCGCCTCTGCTTTGGAAACACCAATATAAAAACATTAGTAAATGTGGAACAGCCTGATCAATTTCATCAGAACCAAACCACTAAACAAACTTGCAAATTATCTAAAACAGTGAAATTTGAAGGCACAGGCGTAGAGGTCTCAACTTTTATAAATTTAACAAACCAATGCCAGCCGCTGCGATTTTGTACCGAGTAACGCTCCATTAATGCGGTCAGTCGCAACAGAGATATTTTTCTAAGGGCAACCATTTGTCCAGCTGATAAGTTCTGCATTTTCAAAGATCTATAAGGCAAAGATGAAGGAAAACTTTAAGTAATAGGAAAACACGACTCAGAAAAATATACCTAAAGAAAATGTGAGCAAATGACAGGACCAGGGCAGGAATTAAAACAGCTTAGAGTGACTTTGTACGTCGTTTGCTATACTAACCGGCTTCAAATCTAACGTAACCGGGTTCGGTTCGTGTTGCATTTCAAAAGTTTTAGATAGGACAAGCGGGGTCATTTCTTTCAGGGTTTGTGTTCAATAATAAAAGACGAGATTGCAATTTTAAGCATTGGAAATAACGATCTTTCTAGTAATGATAATGCACGAAGACAAATTGGTCCAAGAAAATGTGTTTAAGTCTGTATACAAAACTCTAGATGTTAACATGAAAATCATCAAAAAATAACATTCGATGAGATAAGCAGATTACATAAGACAAGTCCTTGGTTCATACTGTAACTTAAATTATTGACATTAATAGACCTTATAAAAAAATGAAAGGTAGAACTAAATTTGGTATTTCCTTCTTAGAATTTCGTACAAACAAATAAGGCGATATAACTTTTAAAAGAGATAAAAAGCCTTTTATCAGTTATTCAAATGGAATTAACTGCTGGAAGGTCTATCAAAGTGAAAAGTGAATAGGTATGAAAGCGCTAGTTCAGTTAAAAGTTCATTTGTAATACGTACAGACAGATTGCTTCCCCATCCGTTGATTTTTGAAAGCTATGCCATTTAACACGACGTTGTCGCACACTGCAAAAATATCATTAAGCCACCTTAAATAACTTCACAGGAACAGAGAAGAAATTTCCTACTTTCTTTCAAAGATTTGGAATCAACCGGTGAATCACGCACGAAGCAAACAAGATACTATACTCAAAGCTGAAAAACAACCAGAACACGTGGTTTATGCAGTAAATAGATGGCCAATCCAATTAGTGGTTGTATGGTATGAGCAGAGCGCATTCAATATTCAATGGCTGCAACTATGTAACTAGCGAATATTGAAAGCGGATTTCAGATACCCTTCATACTGTCAGTCATTACACAGAATAGTGAAATGGCAATTAACTGGCAAACAAAAGAGTTCAAACCTGATTTAAAACAACTCTACTAAGAATATTAGCAAGTGCGTTGGCGATGGGCGTTGTGGGTGATAGGATAGCTAAAGGAACTTAATATGTAAAACTCTACTATCAATGCTGCAATCGATGCAATAAAGACTCATAAAAATTAACACTTTTTAGAGCAGAGTGTTGCTGGGAAAGGTTGCTTTCCGATTTCGTAATGAAAACAAGCCAATTTTAATCGATTTAATTAATTAACCTAATTTAATTAAAAATAAGATAGTGTTTTTATTGTAAATGCCCATGGCCAAATTCAAAAAGTGCAGTCGTAGCACGGTAACTCCAGTAACTGCAAATAGTGCCAAGTTTGCAACAAAAGCTAGACAGCTGTTACTCTAATAAGTCAAACTGATTATTAACATAGATTGAATACAGAATGTTTTTGCATTTTCATATTTTCCTGACGAAATGTCCAGGTCAATTCATCAAATGAAAAGCTAACGAATACAATGTCAATTCGAAAAAATACGCAGGTTTCAGAAAATATGACGGCTCCATTGCTCTGACCCGTAGGAAGGGTATCCAAAGATGGAGTGGTTTGAGGAAGGCCAATTCATAACTACCAAACCCTATATGATTTTACTTCAATCCCATTTCTAAAAAACCTCTGTACAAAAGAATAACGACGGAAAGAAATAGACTCAACCCAGGATTTTAGGGCAAAATTTCACCCAAAGAAAGGTTGAGGCATTTTCAGAAATGTACAAAAATGTTCTCGAACCGTTCTCGAAACCCTACACCTCGAAAGTCCACATTGTTGGTTATTTTCGCTCAAAGGCAGTCTGTCCCCTAAATGATTGGCCAATGTGAACAATAGGTCCTCCCGCCTTAACGGATTTGGCTGGCCTAGCTGCGGTAGTGAACGACATTTGAAACTGCGAGCAAAAAGCTATCGGGAATGGCAATAAGATTTAATTACTGGAATTTACTGATGATAACGGAAGCATTTCCTTTCGCTGTTGACATATCTGTCGCAAAAACCAAACAGGGAACATAATTTTTCTAGCCACAGCTTCACTTCAACGGGAACACAGCCATTTGATTCAAAAGCTCTGAAATCCATGTTGTCCCTGATTGGTTTAAATCGTTTAATTATCGATCAAGCTCAACGGTGCATGAATTTCACTCCCGTGAAAATAAAGTTGAGCATAATAGGGGACAGACTGCCTTTAATGACGATCACCCCTAATCACGTTTAATGAACGCTAATCATACAACGTACCTTGGTGATCGCAAGACAGGTGACGACGGCACTCCTGAATCAACACTCCCCATACCTTTACTTGAAGATGCAGCAAGTGACAACCGTTCTGCGGTCTCTAAATCCTCGTCGTCTTCTGGTGATGAAACTGATGACATATCATCATCAGATTCCATCTGACTTGCAAAATGTTTTCGTCGCATTGGAACCGATTCTTTAAACACAGAGTCGGTTGGCGATGCACCAATATATTTGTAGTTGGGCTCAGAATCGGCCAATATAGGAACATTGTCGTAGAAACTTAGGCGATTTTCCTTTGAAAAAACATCAGTTGTGCTGGCTGACGTTAAATGGGATGCATTTGACGCTAAATCATTTGATTCGGATGTGCCCGAAAAAGAAAATGTCCTGGATAGCCTCGGCTCTTGGCCAGGAATACCTATGTCTTTTGCCACTGTATCGACGTCTGTTACTGCTCTGTCCACACTATAAATTCCATATTTCGAAGAAGGTCGCTTTCTACCGTGCATTTCAACTAATAAAGAACTTGAAGAATTGCTAGACTTGATGTGATCCATACTTGAGGCACTACATTGTTGAGAGAACAGTTGGTTACTACATAGAGGATCAGCTCTGCTGCTCAGATTGGCTTTCCGGAGAGCCAAATTCTTTACCTGCAAAATATGTAAACATCAATCCTTTCAATTTCTGCATGTCTCTTTTCAATAAATGTGTTTTAAAAGTTATTTAAAAACCTAACCAGGAAACAAGATTCAGCGAAACCAGGCAATGCAGACAGACAGTCCAAGAGGCAATTCATTCAATTTATCGCATAAAAGAAAGAGAATTAAATTTAAATCATATTCTAAGGGAAAAACTTTTATCAAAATGAATTACTTTGACAAACATCACGAAATCATTATAAAAATAATGAAGTCTTTAAATGACAAAATCTTTCCTAGCTATTCTTGCACGCAAAAAAGCAGTTCTTAAACAAAACTCCATTTTTACAAATCTGTACAGCAAGCAAAAATATAATTTCTGGAAATCTTTTAACAGAAATGAAGAAAACAAAGAAAATCTCAAAAGAAATTTAAATCGGTTTTTTCCTCAAAGCAATAAAAACCTTGAAGCTCTTAGTTTGGAAACAAAATGAGCAAGATAAGGAGCCTAATTTTCAAACCGTCGTAAGTACCTCCCTCCAACTTATCAACTTTGAAGCTATTGTGCAAAATATTTGTCTTTTTTCAGTGCAAAGTTCGACTAACTTTTCTTCGACATTGCAAATAGCAGTTTAAAAGAAAATAACAACTTACCCTTTTCTTCGTTAGTTTGGCACATCTATTGAGTGTTTCAAGTCGCCTGAAGAAAAGAGCACATTGCACTAGCTGAAATAATTGCTAAAATATTATAAACAATCATACTTTAAACCGAACAGAACTTTCATATTTTTCGATAGCAACAGGCTAAAACCGAATTACGAGTAATCAAAAATCTAGATTTTAACAAAACGTGTTCTCAGCGTGAAGCGTCCAGAAGTTAAAGCAATTACAGTTCGAAAGGTCAATAACATGAGTCATCATAATAATCATCATATATTTTCGACACTAATGTCAACAAGACATAGATGAAAACAGCCGTTACTTGGAGATTGACTAATACATAACGTTAAGGGTTTGATTCTGGTGTGATAAAAGCTTTCAAAATAACACCTTTCGCAGTTATCTGATTAATGGTGCTGTTGCCACCAGGGGCGAAACTACTGGGGGGGTATGGGGGGGGGGTGCTGCACCCCCCCAATCTTCAAAAAAGCAGATTTTGTCGGGCAAACTTGTGGCTGCTAGTGTATCTGTCGGGCAAATCTGGAAATTTTCTTTAGGACGCACTTTTATTGCTACTTTTTGCCCTAGGTTGGTTTTTTAATTCATGGTCTTTTCCCCCATCTTTTTTTCAATCTCCTCCCAGTTGGGAAAACAGAAACGAGGCAAGGAACAGCAACATATATACATTTCTGTCTTTCGTCCGTCCACTGATCAGCGCTTTCGTCTGGAGCTCAACGCGCACATGTTTATCTTCGCCTCGAGATGAAGTCTGAAGTATTGATCGACAGCAAAAGTATAGACAGGAAGTAAAGTGTGTTTGATGCGAGAAGGAAATGAACACTGTGTATACCCCTCCCCCCTACTTTTTGCAAAACAAGTGAGCTTTTTTCAAAATCTTTTGTTGTGATTTCTAAATTTTCTCTTGAAAAGCCCCCATCCCCCCCCACCCTCAACGTTCCATCCTGCCTCGGAGCCCATAGAACACTGACAGTTTTAGAAGCATCATGAATCAAAGCATGAAGGATATACCATCTCGGAATACGTTGTTGAGAAAATCAATCAATATTTTCTTTTCCAAATGTATGAAACTTTCATTCATGAAATCAAACATGTTTTAAAAATTTAGGTCAGGACATTTGAAGAAGACATCATTTGGGTTTTTAAACATTTCATAACATCAACAGGAACATAATAAAACTATTTACAATAAACATGATCAAACGTGAACACCTTTTCATTACAACGTGGCGTGAACAACTGACTAATGCAACTTAGAGGTCTAGGAACGAGTGAAGGATTAACCGCGTGCTGCTCCTTCACAACAATACATCCATAAGGAGTTATGCCCCAAAATTCTCTTAAGGTTTTACACTTACGGTTCGAAAGTATTGCACCCTTCGCTAGAAAATGGTCATACAGACGCCAAAGTTTTTTAACTAAAAAAATTTGAATAACCATAACAAGTAACAGAAAGTTTTAATCAGTTCAAGCGGGAAGTAATATAAAATTTATCAAGAAATTGTAGTTAAGGTATGAATTGCAAAAAATCTTTCGAGTTTATTCTATTTCTGAACAATATCCATGATTACGAAAACATGAAAATTGAGCTTTGATGATAGGTATACCTGTAAAATACCTCCAATAAAAAACTTTTCTTTGCTTGAGGGATTTTGTTATGGTGAATTTAGAGATACGTACTTTGTGCTTGGGTGTCTAAAAATATTGAAATTGCTTCCGGAGCAACCAAAAATTGAAAATGAAACTCAGAGAATGCAACTGAAGCTCTTTTTTGTTGGAACATTGTAATCTGCGTAGCTGTTTCTAAATTCCGAAATTTCCAAGCTGTGTTTTGGTGTTCCACTTTGATAAAATAGAGACCCTACTTCAATCTCTTTTTTGAATTGCTCTCTTAATAGCTAGGTGATTTAGAAAGTGAAGACTTTTTTTTATAGAAAAGACAGGCCTTACAAATGCTTGCTTTTCGGAAACAAATGTTTATAGCCAACACCAGAAAAAATAGAGGCATATTTTTTGACTTAAAACAAACAGCCTGAGTCTAAAGACCCTCTCTTGGGCTTCCCGATGATTTCAGCCCTTGAGGCGATGTGCTCTAAAAATGAAGTTCATGTAGGACACGCCCTTTCATCAAGCATGCCACGCCCTTTCGTCGGGCAACTAAGCTTCATACCCCCCTAATGAAAATAGTGAAGTTTCGCCCCTGGTTGCCACTGGCAGTGATTGGTGATTGACGGCGATTGATGGTCACAAATGTTGATTTTATGTTGACGAATGAATGCTGAATATAATGGCAATGATGATTGACGGTCATTGGTCATGCTTATGATGATGATTAGATGATGATGATTATGGTAGTAAGATAATGTGCTTGTACAGAAATCACGAAAAAGCAAAACATTGGACATTTAGGCCTTAAACTAGCCCAGCATGAGTGGCTGCAAAGCTTAAGATAATGACCATTTAATTTACGCTTTATGATCGCCTTAAACGGCAAGATAGTGCCGTGCAAAGAGGCATCCCACCAAAGCATGCTGCGATATTGAGACAAAGAATTCAGACAGAATCATTTGTTCTTACTACCTTTTAAGAGTGAGGCTTAAAAGATTAAGCTCCCCAGTGGTAGAAGATTGTAGCTTTAAAGCCAGAATAAAAGGAATACCCTGCTTTTAAGAAAACATACCTCACTTCGAATTTCGAATTTTAAAATTGAAAACTGATTAAGAAGCATAACACCACAAAGCCTTGATTGTTTGTTTTTCCTCAACTTGTCTAAGTAACTGCATAGACAAACGCGTTTTTGCAAATCCGTGAACTGCAAAAATGTTTCTCTCTAAAGAGCATCCAAGCAATTCTCTCAAGAACATGCAAAGGAGAACCTAGGTACATGTTTCCTAGATTTAGCATGCCAGTCGTAGTTAAAAATTAGTTGAAAGAAATTATGTGGTACACAATTCCTTTATCAACTTATTAGCAAGGGGGGAATAGCCCCTCTTGCCCCGTTTTATAAACGATAGACCATCGTCGCTGTTTTATAATAAAAAAGGCTTGGCTCCTCCGGCCCTCCGATCAAATAAGAAAGGCTTAACTACAAAGCCACATTTTAAACAACCGAACTATAAATTAAATCAATACTATCCTTGGCAAGTACAATCAAATGAAGTTCCATAATACTTTCGTTGTTGTTTGGATAAGTGGTAAGCTTTCCCCACTAGGTACGATCGTGAATCTAAGCCCACTTCTCTACTATCCGGGGAAGTAACACCCCTCCCAGGTGCTAGTGTTTCGGCAATGGCTAGGCAGTCTTTTTGAGAACTGTTTGGTGATGGGGTAGGGGTAATCCGAGGTCTGAATGGTGGTTGTGACGAGGGGCTATTCTGAATGCATTTGAGGCATTAGATAACAGATCCTCTTAGCTTTCTAGACATCTACTTAATTGAAAACCATCGAATATATCTGTATATTTGCTGCAATACAGTGAGCGAATACGAACCTAATGAGCGAATACGAACCTAATGAGTGAATGTCGAGAGTCTTCATCCATTGAAACATGATCTTTTTGGATGAGGGATATGTCCACTGGGAACTGTTGGTCTAGATATGCAAAGAAAATATGAACTTTAGAATAGGAATCTATTTTTAAAGCCGGGACAAACAGAAGATCGTTTGGTACTTTACAATTGCTTGTCAGCTTGACAGTGGGTATTTTATTCATGGGGTTCAGGATAAATTGATGTGAAGAAGATTTGGCGCTCAAATCACTCCACAAGACCATAGGCAATAACAAGTGAACATCGCTTTTTCAATGACGAGCCCTTTATGCAATCATTTATTATGTATTTTGCTACATTTCAAGCTTTAAGTCGTTGTTATAAATTTTAGTAATTCATTTCTTTACTTGTATTGTAATTGTTTATTGAGTTACATGTAGTCTGGATTAACGATCAAATGAAACTGCTGTAAATTACATGTAGGTAACTTCGTTTCTTGTCGAGTTTGAAAAACCATAATAAGAAACACACTACACGTTAAGAATTTATTCTTAGAATTTTCACTGGCCTCCAGCACACCGACATCTTGAATTAAAATTGATACATTCCAAAATGGCTTTGAAAAAGCAAACATTTGAGTATACTAAAGCTTTCGTCTGGCACTCTTCAGAGTATAAAACATCAGAACATAGATAGAAAACTCTAGGATTCGTTTATTTCAAAACCAACACTGTTAATTTTCCAGACGGAAATAAGAATTGACGAGAAACATTTGTAGGCATATTGTGTGTCAAAGTAGGAGATAACGAAAACAAAATACACTTGGCTTTTTCAGTCCAAGCAGAAAAATTTCGGGATGTTTAAGGAAAGGAGCAGATATTACCAACGGATAATGGACATTAATAACAAAACCGGTCTATACTACACATAAAACGGCTCCATCAGAACAACTTGTGTTAAGCAAGGCGAACAAGGCAAATAACTTGTTTGAAGCAAGGCAAACAATGCAGACGACTTGTTTGAAGCAAGGCAAACAATGCAGACGACATGCTTGAAAATAGGCGAACAATGCAGAGGACTTGCTTGAAGCAAGGCGAACAATGCAGAGGACTTGCTTGAAGCAAGGCGAACAAGGCCATCAACTTTTTAGAAAAAAGGCGAACAATGCAGACAACTTACTTGAAAATAGGCGAACAGGGTAGACGACTTGTTTGAAGCAAGGCGAACAATGCAGACGACTTGTTTGAAGCAAGGCAAACAATGCAGACGACTTGCTTGAAAATAGGCGAACAATGCAGAGGACTTGCTTGAAGCAAGGCGAACAAGGCCATCAACTTTTTAGAAAAAAGGCGAACAATGCAGACAACTTACTTGAAAATAGGCGAACAGGGTAGACGACTTGTTTGAAGCAAGGCGAACAATGCAGACGACTTGTTTGAAGCAAGGCAAACAATGCAGACGACTTGCTTGAAAATAGGCGAACAATGCAGAGGACTTGCTTGAAGCAAGGCGAACAAGGCCATCAACTTTTTAGAAAAAAGGCGAACAATGCAGACAACTTACTTGAAAATAGGCGAACAGGGTAGACGACTTGTTTGAAGCAAGGCGAACAATGCAGACGACTTGTTTGAAGCAAGGCAAACAATGCAGACGACTTGCTTGAAAATAGGCGAACAATGCAGAGGACTTGCTTGAAGCAAGGCGAACAAGGCCATCAACTTTTTAGAAAAAAGGCGAACAATCCAGACAACTTATTTGAAAATAGGCGAACAGGGTAGACGACTTGCTTGAAGCAAGGCGAACAACGCAGACGACTTGTTTGAAGCAAGGCAAACAAGGCAACTATCTTGGAAAAAAGGCGAACAAGGCAGAGAACCTGTTTGAAAATTGGCGAACAAGACAAACATTTTGTTTGAAACAAGGCAGAATAGTTTGAAAACAAGTTTGAAAATAGGCGAATAAGTAAAAAACTTGATTGAAGCAAAGCTATCAAGTTAGAAACCTTGTTAAAAACAACGCAAATGAAAGGAACAACTGGTTTAAAACACGGCACACGAGATGAACACGGCAAATGAGACGAACGAGTCAAAAAAACCATGCAAGGCTCCGATTTTCTATCTTTAGATCACATTTGAAATTAGCAGTTTTTCGGGCATGAAATGTCCGTCAACAGGTCAGTAACAAAACTGCGAGGAGCAGGTCTGTTCTGTTTGCTAATCAGTGGCAAGCAAGCGTGATCACCTGAAGGTTTGGGGTCATATGGATTTGAAAGACGGCTGAAAGATTAATTCGCGGTTGCATTTTAAACAATTTTAAAGCCTTCGCACAAAGATTTTATCATGTGCCGACAAACTTCTTAATGCTCCGCTGCTATCTCTCACAGTAGCATTACCGTATATGCATACGACTTGCGGAAAGCAAAATTGAAACAACAGCCTAGTATGCTGTTCCTAGAATCTAGAAACTTGAGCTCTGTAAATCTAAATCTCTCCAGAGTGACATCTATGCCTATCTCGAGTCTTTATACAAAGACTGAAAAATTGAATAAACGAGGTCTTGCTACTGCCAATACGTCATCAGACCCTCCTTTCTGTGGTCTAAGGGCCATGGAGAATATTACAGATTTTGAGGGGAAGGGCCGAAAAGTTCTTTTTGAGGAGATGGCTCAATATGCAAGGTTTTAAAAAAATATCAATTTTGTACTGTTTTATGAACATTTCTGAAAAGTTTAAAAACGCCAGCCCCCTGCATCCATGGTTTTTCTTCACAGTTTTATTTTCACCTGCCAAATATACAAATATTAAGTAAACAAATATGTTATATTTCAATTTAATAATATTTACTTTACTGTAATTCAATAGCAATTTCAATGCAGATTTTTGCTTCAAAGATTTTGAGTAATTCAAAGTTCTTGACGAATGCCTGCAAATAAACAAAATTATAGAGAGATATTTACAGTCCTATTTCCTTACTTTCATCTAAAACAGATTTCACAAAAAATCAGGTCAATACTCAACGGTCTTAAGAAATCATAATCTTTAAGCATATGTACTGACAAATTACCCTTAAAATTACAGTGGAATGAAATTTTTTTCAGAGGTGATCAGGCCTTTAAATATGGCTTTATCATACAAATAACAATCAAGGATACTTTGTACAAGAACATTTTTGACCAATAAGAAATTAGGAAAAAAGAAGCAATAGGAAAAAGAAACAAAATGTAAGGAAGCTTCATGTGAAAATTTGAAATTAAAAAATACAAAAACTCAGGCATCCCATATGTATATCACAGTAAACGATTTTGGTGTGTATAAGAAGACAGTTTGAAGTTGCCACTACGAGTTTCATGCTTAAAGCGATAATTAGGCAACTATTAAAAATACTTCCTCTGTTGTTATGTACCCAAGGTTATCAAATATTTCAATTTTGGTTGGTATCAATTATGGGGGCAATTGAGTATTTGATTACTGTTGGTTAGATAATATAAATTTATTTTAATGTCAGCATTTTTAAATAAAAAGATTATTTGTTCAGGATGGAATTCCAACTAGGATTAATGATGACACATTTTTCCTCTGAGCACAGCTAGAAATGTTAGAATAGGCCTTTGCCCTAATGACAATTTGATAGCAAAACCTTAACTAATAGTATTCCATTTTTTCCAAAGGACAGAAACCACGAGTAAATCTGTATTGTTGATACAAAAAAGAACATACCGTCATATAAGTGAACATATTCTTGGAAACCAGTTGCTTTAAGCCAATAGCAGGCTTCAAGTGCTTCTAATTCTGCAAGAAAATATGTGGCTGCTCAAAGAAATTGTGGCACCAATATGGACCTCGGCTAGTTACTCATGATTTTTGAAACAGAACAAGCAAAAAACATTAAACTATAGATTTAAAAATGTGAAATTATGCATTAGGTCCCAAATTTAGATTTTACTCCTCGTGACAGTTTTTTGGAACTAAAATGATGAAATAATGACCATGCAATTGGAAATCAATAGTCCATCCCAATATATCCAGTGTGAGCTACATGGATTCCACACTGACTTGTCAAAGTAGAATTTAAGCAGAGTGCTAGCTAATGGTGCTGTCATATAGAAAACTTTTTAGTAGGAAGTGGCTGAACAACTGAACATTTTTAGCTTTGTTTTCCTGAAGTATTTTTATAAGTTTTTCTAACTATTAAAAAATATTGCAGATTTGGAAAGCAGAGGGCTTCAAATATCCAATTTGCTGAGTATTTTAGGCAGACTACGCCAATTCATAAATCAAAGCTATCCAGATGCCCCCAAATGTTCATTAACAAATAAATTTTTATAAATAAATTACTTTAGAAATAAAAAGCTTTTACTTTCGTTTTCTAGAAATAATTATATTCCATGATTTTGTAATTAGATCAACACTACTTAAAAATATCTGACAAATCGAATAAATAATGGCGAGGGCAATCAATCGACAAAAAAGGGCTGTAATTTACTACTATCAATTACAGCTAATACAGTTTTGGGTATAAGAATGTAGCTACAAGAAGGTCGATGAACCAATGAATCTGGTATTACTCATATTTTTTCGAATTTTTTTAACTCTTAAATTGTAAATACAATATTTTCATATCTTAAGAAGCACTTAAGATACAGGATGAGAAATCTTTAGTACGTGTGAGGATAGGTTGCTTTGTTTTAGGCCATAGAAATTAATTTTAGGCCATGAAACTGTAAAATTGACAAAGCTGCAAAAACAGGTCACATAAGAAAGAGATAGAAAGAAAATGATATTTGATACCATCTTTGGTCACTTGCCATAGACAGTCCTCTAAAATCTTTTTCCTTATTTTTTCCCATTTGTACTCAAGAATCTTCTTCTTGCATTCTGAAACTGGTTGGCGATCTTCACTACTAGTCATCTTCAATGCAGGTGTAAACCATCTTTATCACTGTGAATTATTTTTATGAATCGAAGGTCAAAACGTGGACCATGTTTTGCTTTAACCTATATTCACACGACAGCCACAAACCTTATCTTGGGTCAACAGGAAGGAAAGTTTATGACATATGTACCCTTGTGCAATTCCTCGGCAAAATAGCCCTTGGACAGCCCGCTGCTCTTAATTCCCTAGATGCAGTGTGGCAGCCAGTGGCACCAACCCTGGCCACAAACCATCGAGAGACCAGAGCAGGGGAACAGGAGGCACTGATCTCAATAAAAGACTGGATCGAGCTTCTTATTGTTTGACCCACACGAGAACCGAGTCCCGCCAAATTTGATTAGGCTCTAGAACCGCGGGACCCACCGTTTACCGCGAAACACCGAAAGGAACCGATATGAGTGTTAAACGGGGTACCCAATGTCAAAAAGTACTTTTTACAAGCTCAACTACCTACCTCTATTTCCAATTGATCAGATTATCAGTAAAGCAGAACATACAACGCATCGAATGTTAGGCCCATTGGACGTGTAGCACGACAATTAACGTCTTTGATCAAATTGAACGTTGGGAAATTTCTATAGTATAGTTACAATTCTAGCCTTATTTTCAACCTAAATGTACACCCAATAACTTATCTTGGACATAGTTATTTGTAATCTTATGTAGGCCCACAATCTACGATGGGTCCCACGCGGACAAGCAACATTGACCTCAATCTGAAACGGCAGAAGCTCGAACCAGTCTGAGGGGGCATTTCTTCTGGATGAGCGAACTCTGCAGATGCAAGGGTACGGGCTTGGAGCTACAGCCCCTGACAATTGTCAAATTACTTCACAAGTTTTTTTATCGACCGGATTATATTTGATAAGGTACAAGCAGTAGCGTAGAAGCCGAGGGCCTAAAAGGCACTTGCCCCACACGTTTCTGCCAAACTCAAGTTGACATTTACTCATTTTTTATAAGAAACAAAAGTCGATGTTGAGTACTCCAGTTTCTTAATATTCTGAAAATTTTAAATATGATGTCATGAATAATGTTATGAAATGTTCATGACCTTTTTTATCACGTCAAGAGATTCGCTTCCGTTCTGATGCTGTATTTAGATGTGGGAAGTATATTTCTATCACTTGTGTCTAAGTTCTCTGCCAACAGGGCAATAATGTTCTTGGATTTTATAAAATTAGTTTTATTACGATTTCATAGTTTCTTAATTTTTTTGCTTCGAGTACTGAAGTTTCTTAATTTTTTCTGACAGTCCAGTACTCGCTTCTTATAGCCAGTTTCTTATAAAAATATGCATGTGCCGCTGGTGCATCGGCACAAGTTGCTTCACCTAACCCATACAAAAACCTAAAACCTTGGCAAAACGACGAAACATTTCACTAAACATTTCACTCAACTTTTGTTTAGCAGAAAGTTTAGTGAAAAGTTTAGTGGTTTTGCCACCCTGTTTAGTGTTTTTCTAGTCGTGTTGAGTGTTGTTGAGCAAAGTTTGATCCTGGTCAAAAATGTTTAGCGTTGTTTAGTGTTGTTTAGCAAATGTTTAGTCGTTTTGCAACCAATTAAACATCTTTTGTGATCGCTCAGGCGCTCTAGCTGTGGAAATCAAAAGGTTTTCGTCGGTTTTCATTGGTTTTCCTATCTCTACGTGACCCAAGAAGCCTCTATGAGACATCTGCATATCTCGTTGTACGGCACTGTGTCTTCTTCAACAGTCAACTTTGTTGTCAATGTGCTAGAAAGTCTTTTGTTTCCCTGTCGCTTCATCCAATTCTTATGTTTATCAACTGCTTGTGCATGCAACAAAATAAACCAAAAGCAACTTCCTATGCAAGATCCCCTACAACCCTACAGCGTCATAGACAGCTCGCAGTTCAAAAAAGTTGAGTGAAGCTTAGTGAAAAGTTTAGTCACGTTATGCCGCCCTCGCTTAACTTCGCTCAACTTCACTAAACAAAAGTTGAGTGAAATTTTTAGTGAAATGTTTAGTCGTTTTGCCAGGGCTTGACCTTTGATAAAGCTTAATAGACTCATGGACAAGCAGCTTAAGGTTCTGGGCAGGGAATGGACAAGAGCAGTTCATTTTTCCTCACCATAGAGCTGATTCATCAGTCTTACCTTAGATACCTAAGATATGAGAGGGGAAGAGAAAACATGACTGAATTAAGAGCCTAGTCTTTCCTAAACGAAGGATAACAAGAGCTTTAAAATGAGTCCTGGATGTAAACAGGCCCTAGCCTAATACATTAGAATAAACAAGGATTCGAAGAAACACACTACGTTTGAGGTCAAAAGGGGAGGGGAGGGACAGGAGAAGAGAACAACGCGGAAACAGCATACGAAGTGTGCACGATCTGCCCGACCCAAGGAATTAAATACACCCATCTGAGTCAAGGGACCAACACTTTCGTGCAGAAGCCCAAACTACAGAACTCCTTCTTCTCTATTATTTCCAATGGAATCAAAGAAGCACATAAGACTTAAATACTAAATTGAAGCATGCCAAATGACACCCTAAAGAATAATACAAATAAGCTCAAATAAAAACCCCTAGCCAAATCAAATTCTACAACATTTCTCGATAAATATTTCATTTGATCAGCATTTAAATGTTTTATATAATAAAAGAAATACGAGGACGGCTAAAAAGCACTAAGAAAAGGATGAGCCCTCTGAGAAATACTAAACTCTATGAAGGTCCAAAGACAAACATCATTGGTTCTAATATCCTAGACAGACATTTTATTTTTTAAAACAGTTATCACGGAAGATTTTGTTTTCAGCCTAAGAATTTTGACAATTCAGAAATGGGTTCAAATTCTTAGCTTTTAGAAGGACATCGTGTCTCTCTAGGCCTAAAAGTGTTAGAAGAACGAGATCTAGTGCCCCACGATGAGGAACATGTGGTTGCCCATTCTTCTGAATTCTTCACAGGAGCTTTCAAACTATTCCCAAACTTTCAAGGAGTAAATAGAGCAAAGAATAAATATTTCTCACATTGGAAACATGATTATTCCTCATAAAGAAAGGCACAGCAATTCCAATACTGACGTGCTTGCACTGTTGAATAGAATAAAACAAAACTACATAGAAAGAGTAGCGGAATAAATACTTTGTTTGGTGTTTTCGGTATTTCTAATGGGATTATAATGAGATTACAATATCACACAAAATATCATTCTTAATTCTATTGATATGAAATCAAATTTAGTAAGAGTCTGAAAAAGGAGTAAGCGCACAGTTAATCATAATCTGGTGGGCGGTAAATACCATAAACGCCCTTGAAGCCTACATCTTGGAAGACTTCGTTGACTTTGAAGTGGATCCACATCCAACGATCAGCCCATTGTGCTAAAGGTCTGCCGTACCCGTAGGCTGGATACAAAAGCATTCTGGCATTTGCAAATGGTCCTTCATAGATCTCTACAAAATCTTCATAACTTTTCTGTAGGTAGAAATCAGTAAAAGCTATCTGTAAGTTGTTGTGAGGTCGATGAACAGTCCAAAAGCATTCGTCGTTGGGCTTGTAAGACACTGGGAAACCAGGGCTTGTAATCACTCCATATTCTGTATCCAAATGGCCACCACAGGCTGTAAAAAAGATATTTGAATTGAAGTTTTGTCAGGTGTATTATTCAGGAGCTACGTTTCCGTCATCAAATATAACAAGTCTAGCATTCAGGATGGTATTCATATTAAGCAGAGCAATCTTCAACATGACTTGGAGCTAAATCTTTAGCATCTAACTGGGTCTTATCTTGAACGAATTGAATAGCAACATAATAAACGAATTAGTCCTAGCAACCACATTGCACATTAGGGCAACATGAAAATTTTTATCTTTATCAATGACATTAAATACTAGCAATATCTTATTGCTTGTAGATCAGATCTGATGCTTTTAACATGGTTGTGTCTCTCGTGATTACGGTGTCTTCAGAGAGTCATTGCCCATCTTTTATATGAAACATCTTTAAGGTAGACATAATTTACACCACACCACCTACATTAGATACCTCAAACTGTCGCATTATATTAAACTGAGACACTGTAACTAAGACTTACTTGCTTCCTTGTAATCCAATGTGAAGCCAGTGCCTGTATTGTCTTCACTGTAGTAAATAACCCTCATAAAATGGCTATTTCCAGTAAATGAGCGCGGTTTATTCACTTTTGTGAATGTGATGTACTCCTCATATTTCTGACCGTCGAATATCTTCACTTTGTCTTTTGCTCCAATTCCAAAGGTAGCGAAGTTGATATTAACCTTCTTTCCTTGATTAACTTGAATCATCCAGTGACAAACGTTCTTTCCACCTCCTACCGTTATTCTCCCACTAGAACCAGCCACAAGTCCTCCACAGCTGCTCTCTGGAAGCAAATGTTATGGTAGATGATTCGAAGATAATTTTTGTGACAAATGAAAAGACGTCTTCCGAACAGATTTGCAAATAATAAGAAAATGTCACAAAAGAAAGCAGTAATTTGCCTGATAGGTGTGACAAACTTCCACAGCAAAATACAGCACAACAAAACAGCAAAACACAATACAACACAATATAGCAGAACAGAATAAAACACACCAAATAAGGAACTTGTACAATTTAAAACAACAACGCAACACAATATAAAACGACACACAACAACACAACACAATATGAAACAAGATGAAATACACACTCTCAATGCCCTCTGAAGAAACACAGCCTATAAGAATTCTGCTAGCCTTCTTCTTCGTGGAAGGAAATATCTCTATACATTGACTTTGCTGTTATACTTTGAAATATAGTGAATCTAGACACTCTCAAATTCAGACATTCTTGGTGAAGCTCTTCATTCCGATTTAATCACATATCCATGTATTCCAAATGAATTATGGGCAGAGATTCAAGAATTGTAATGCTAGTTAGCAATGAGTACTTACTGACACAAGACGCAGACTGGCCAGACCACGTTCCATTGGCTTGACATTGTCTTTTAGTTGACCCTATCAGCAAGTAACCTGGGTTACAAAAGTAATTTGCTGTGCTTTGGTACACTGTGTCACTCATCGTGCGCACTCCGTTTGATACAAAGCCGGGATCGCCGCAGTCAGTAACTGAAAGGTAAAATTTAGTTGCAATTAGACCTTGAATGACGAGAAAGTGTCAGATGCTTTAGTCGGCCAAGAAATAACTTTCAGAGATGGATTCATTGTCACTTCTTTACGTCCGATATCAAAGATCTGGTGCAGCTGATGGTACAAATCGATATGAAATTATTCATGATGAGAAGAAAGAAAATGGGTGATAAGGCTTATACTGAAAGCTATGAACATGGCCTCGAATGTGGCAATGCTAAGGGTACCCGTTATAAATGCTTTTTGAAAGAAAACCACAAGGTTGCTGTGTTCGTGCTTCGTTTACATTGAAAAGTAGATTCTACGCTCAAAACGTTTCATGTCGTGACGTTTTCCCTAAACTATAAAAGGAAAACTATTAAAGGACAGCATACTTGTGCATGTTGTCTGCGTGCCTGACCACTGCCCATTGTTCTGACACACTCTGAATGCCGTGCCACCAATTACGTAGCCGACATCGCAGCTTGTGTATACTTTGTCCCCATAGTTGAATCTATTATCAGAGTAGAAAGTCGAGTGTTCTGGCACTTTTGGCTTGCAACAAGAATTTGCTGAAAAGTAAAGCCAAAGGTAATAAATATATGAAGTTTTGTTTTTAGTATAATCATAGGACAAGATAATTGAAATATGAAAGTTTGTGAACTTTTAGCAATCTAAACGTCCATCAAAATGGAGGTCAAGCCTGTTTTATCGGACCAAGAGTGTTTAAAAAAACGAGTCTGAAAATCGATTGCCATTGACTGATGTATATCGATTTATTGAAAAACGTATCTAAGTTGTAATAGCAAGTTTTGGATCTTTGTAACAAAATATTCAAGATATCCAAGCCAGCAGCTGTAACATTGTTTACCTTGACTTGCTACTTTTACAAATTCATCTTGGAATACGAAAAAAACATCAAATATTTCCTTCTTTCCATTTGTACAAATGTCCACTCACCGATGCACGAAGGTTCTGTTCCTGACCATTTTCCATCAGCATTACAATGTCTTGTGGCTGGCCCCTCCAAACATTTTTGGCCGCCTGATTGACTGCAAGTGTATGTCGCTATGGCTGAATATTTAGTTCCATGACGTAATGTCACCTGCATGTAGGGTTTACTTGGAGGCATGCCACAATCAATCACTGTTGAATGTAAAACAAAATACAAAACCTGATGAAATCGTTTAACAGTATCATACAACAATATAGCGCACCTTAGACACTCCAAAAGATTTGGACCTCAATCTACGTAATATCTTAGTTCTTAGTAATATCGAAAATGTGTATGTTAATGTGTATGATTATTTTTTATTCCTTGTTTAACTTTATTAATGCTACCGTGTGTAAATTGAAAGCTATTTCCACATGGTCTTAAGAACGAGCACTACTCTTAACGGCACTTCGCCTCTATTAAATTTTACTGGGTTAATGATACAATGCGTTATTGTCACATTTCCCAATTAGCGGTTTGCATAATACTTTATCACTCAGAACTTTCCCTTGTTTGGACTATAAAATTTTAGATGAACAAAGAATAGTAATTCGTCAAGAAATTAAACATATAGAAGACATCATATTGATAGTTTTTCGGCCGATTTTGTTAAAAAATTAAAAAATCTGATAGAACGGTGTACACTTCTTATTTGTGAGGAGTACATAATCAGTATCTATTAAAGATGAACTTTTTTGCTAAAAAATAATGTCCAAAGTTCAGCATTTCTTAATAAGCATGGGCTCTCCCATTAAGCTACTTTCATCAAAAGAAAGTTTGCAGAAACAAAAACACACTTCATCAAATTTTTACCATTACTATCAAAACTTACATTCACAAGTCATAGTTGCAGTATTTCCCCCAGTCCACTGACCATTGCTTTGACACGTACGCAACTCCAAATTATTTTGCACCAACCGATACCCCTTGTTACATTTAACTCTTGCAACACTGCCCTCTATCAATGCTAATCCAAGGATTTCTCCGTGTAGTGGGTTGGATAGTACTGGGCATTTAAACTCTGTCAAAGTCAATGTCGTTATTTTCATTCAATTCAAAAACAATTTGCAAACTTAACTGAATTTAAAAACAACTGAAGGCACTCTTGTTATGTACTTGAAGGAAGAAACACTAGATCGGGATTCCAACGGAAAATTCTAAATCTTGGAGATGGAAATAACTATGGAGAAAAAGATCAAATCGATTATGAGCGTTACAGTGGAAGTTCTGTGTGGGCTGGAGCGGAGAAAAAGCTTAATCTACTCTAAAATGCATCAAATTGATATTCTGTCTTTTCTTCTCGAATTGCCCTCTTTCTTTTTGTTTTTTGCTTTGTTTTCGAGAGCATCAACTCAGAGTCAAACCCTATTTATCACATCTGATGTTAAGGTTTGCAGTAAGATACTGATCAATGTTAAGTTAGGAAAACAAAAACTTCAAAACTTACTCGAGCAGCGTGGTTGGGTACCCGACCATTCCCCAGACTGTAGACATGTTCTTGTCGATGTGCCAATTAACTTATACGATGCTGGACACGAGAACCTAGCGACTCCATTGTAGAAAGTGCTGCTGACAGATACGGTGGCAGTCTCTCCTCTGAGAGTTCCACAGTTGACACCTAAACAGACATCATCAAATTAAGTACAAGATTAGCTGCATCTACAGTAATGGCTTCCAAGTTTTTCATGGACATTTTTCGGATTAAAAAATAAGTCAAGATAGGCTTTTGTTTCAAAATCGCAGATATTTTGAATGGTATTTGTACAACTCTACCAGCCTGCAAGTATATCTAACCTTTAGATATCCAGAATAAAGAAATAAACAAAAATGAGTAAATATCGAGTCTGTTGACTAGAGAAATGTAGTATCGCGTAAATTTGGTTGTAACAGCCCAAAATAGCAGCAAAACATATGTTTGTTGCTTACGTGTGCAGGTAGGCTGTGTTCCAGACCACTTTCCATCAGGGTGACATAACCGAGTGCTAGGACCGTTGAGCTGATATCCAGCAGAGCAGCTGTACGTCACTTTCAGTTTTGACCTAGATACATGACCGTTTGCAACATCGTTTATGTATGGACAGGCTATCTCTATATGAAATAAAATAGAAGAATTTAAGAGTTCAGAACATCACCCAATGTGATTCATCTAGTCTCAAAACAACACTAGCCAACTTAACTCAACTCAACTCAACTTAACTCAAAAGTTTTTAATAAAATGCAGCCTAAAAAGACAGTTAAACTTGTACTATACGTGGCAAAGGAAAAGAAAAGCTTGTCAATCATGGGCTTCTAGATACAACAAACAGTTGGTATTCTAAAAGCAAAGAATATCATGTTTAAAGTTGACTTTGTTTGAGAATTGGTCAAAAGACTTACGATTGCACGATTTTCCGTCTCCCAATAAACTATATCCAGATTTGCATTGGCATTGATAACTTCCAAGAGTATTTTTACAGTCTTGAGAGCAACCATGATTGCCTCGTTCACATTCATCATCATCTGTAATTTAATAGTGTTTTGTGTAAAGCTACAGTTGGGTCAAAGTCACATACTCGTTAAACTCTACCACCAGCCAGATAAGAGCAATCAAGAAGAATCCATATTAGCTATAGGACGTTTACCTCGATGTCTTTCGAATGCCTAGCTTAACTATATATAACTTGAAAAATCATAGTTTGTTTAAAAAGCAATTAGGATCAAACAGTAAGGTCTACAAAGCTTAAAGAAAGTGTATCTGTGAAAACAGCATGCTTCCAGCTGAATGCAGCTCACTCTAATTCAATTAGCATACAATTAGCCTCGTCTAAACCAATGAAATCATAGAACATATGGCAGCATTTCATCAGCAGACTTGATGATCATGCATGCAGCAACAATGGACAAACAGACTCAATTTTATCAAAAGTTTCACTTGTTGTTATTTGCACTTCGCAAAGGAAAAAATTGTCATTAGAAGGTTTCGCGTACCAATACAGAGTAATTTTCCACTAAGTCGATATCTCGCTGGACATGTGCACCTGAAACTGCCAATTGTATTTATGCAGGTATGGCTACATCCTCCATTGTTTTTGCTGCATTCATTTATGTCTAAATAGAGAAAATTTGTTGTTGTTAAGTAAACTTACAGTGAGAATCTGAAAGATTCGTACAGAAACTGATAGAAATCTGACAGACCCAGTAAGCTTACTTGCATACTTAAGTATGTAAATGATTTAAAGGACATACGAAAAGACAGAGCTTGGAGCACGGCAAAAATGAATAAGCTGTTTTCATTTCATACATATTCTATTATACAGATTATAATTCCCAATCCAAAATAAGGGCAAATACTATAAGGGCTCAAGTAATTTTCTAATAAATAAAATTGAAAATTTTTACGAAATTTTCTTTAAAACTTGCTGCTTGCAGGAGCATTTTTTACAATAGTCTAAATCTATTCTCGGGAACAGCATTATCAATAGCGTTATGACATCACAATAACGCCAGGGGAACATTTTGTAACAAAATCATCCACGCTCATGGGCTTTAGTACATAGAAAAAAGAATAGAGAGTCATTGGCAATAAAGGACTGTTTTTATTACGCTATTTAATATGGCATTATTTCTAGTTGAACACCTTTATTCTCACTTTTAGTTATTGGCACAAATCATGTTCATACAAGTCTTTATACGTCAGTAATGGGTGGTGACTAATTCCTTACCTTGACATGTATGTCCGTCCGAAGCAAGTACATAGCCAGCCGGACAGTAGCAACGGTATCCTCCAACGAGTTCCTGGCAATTATTTGCGAAGCATGGTGAAGAAGCGCAGTTGTTTTTTGCTAAAGCAGAACAGAGTTAGTCAATTGAAGTTATGTTGTCATTGGCATGAACCAGAAACAAAATGCCGTGGGTGGGAAGAAATCCTTTTTTGGTGAGTATTTTAGCAAATATATTATTTAGCGATTGAGATATCACCAGTGTTATACCTGATGGAAACTGAAAATATGAATAATTCTTATATGAATCTCGAAAATATGAAAAAGTCTCTTTGGCTTGGTTTGTTAGTACCGAGACCAACTTAGTTTGATCTAATAATCCATCTTTTCACGATAATCTCCTACTGTACGTGTGACTTCAAGTGCTGCAGCTGCAAAGCTAATAAAACTCGGAGCCACGTGAAAATAGGAAATTATCTTGCAAATGTGGATTGAAAAAGCCCTGTATCTCACAAAACCTTTGATAAATTCAACTGCATTTTTTCATAAATAGAGCAATTTTAATGCGCTCTTCAGATCTCACCTTTACAAATAAAATAATTCTGAAAAATATTTTTATGAAATTATCACTTCATAACACTGTTATAATATACATACGTTTGCAGGTCACTTGAGAGCCAATCCAGCTTCCTTTGACGCAGGATTTTCTTGCATTGTCCGAAGTTGTGTAGCCAGGCAAACATTCAACTTGAGCAGCTGAGGCCGTTTTTGATATCAGTCGCCCGTACACTGGAATGTCAGGCGAAGGGCATCCGACCGCTGTAACATTGAAGAGAAAAATATTAAAAAGATTAAGATTATCGATCAAAGGAGGTTGCAAGTTAAACAGTAAGAAGAAACGTAAAAAATCATGGTCTCAAACCTGAGCCTACTTCGTATCTAAGAAGTTCAATACTCAAAAAATGAAAATCTGTTTCACGTTTGTCGACAATCACGAAGAACATTGTGATAGCAAAGACACTAAAAGTACCTTGCTCGCATCTTGAGCCACTGAATCCCTCAGGGCAGACACAAGCGTATCTCTGATATAAATCGATGCACTGTCCACCATTGTTGCAAGTTGATGAGCCACAATTGTTTCCATCAGACTTTGCTACCGGTTGTCCTTGTGGGCCTTCAACAAACAAACATACAGCGTGATGGAACTAATGTACAAGCTTGTAAAAATAACAATCATTGGGGGTATAAATGTTTAATACACGCAGGACAAATTTGCGCTGGATTACAGGAAGAGGGAGTAATATGTAGAGCCGCGAATTGAGAAAGCGACCATAAGAGGTGTAGTGGTAGGGGGCTGCGCAAGGGCCTCCTTGTTAATTCGATAGCACTACACAGTTTGTGCCCATCTACTCCCGAGGGACCTTCGGATCATGAAGCTTCCAGCACCTCTGTTAGGGTTTGTGCAACAGATGGAAACTAATAAAAATGCAAAATTATACGATTGTTCCTAATCTATAGATGGTTGGTGTTTCTTAGTGAATAGGTGGAAAGATGCGGGTAGAGTGTAGGAAATAAACATGCATTAGGTAATGTATACTTACGGTGAGGGCATCCATAGATTTCCATTCGCATTGCGATTCGCGAGCTGGATGAATCTTTTCCTGGTATGATTCTGATCAACCATGCGTAAAACAAGACCTCGTTTCTTACGATGCCGTAAGAATTTGTGTTTGCATTCATTTTACTTCCAGTTGGCTAAAAGATGAAAAAAAGAGAATAGAGTTAGCTGATGCAGCATTTCTTCTGATTCACCAATTACGATAAGCAAGTCAAGTATGCCAAGAGTGTTACGGCACTGAACTTTCATTGAATAGATTGCTGTAGAGAATGTAAAAAGAGAAAGAGCAGCTCTAGCCTGACTCTCAAAGAACGATCTTGGGCAATTAATCATGATTTTGACTCACTGGATTGTAAGTAGTCCAGCCGGCGCTCGGTGTAAGCTTGTATTGGATCGTATAGAAAGTTGCGAATTCTCTGACGGTGGAGATGTAATGTCCCTGTGTGGCAATGCCGGTGACTTTATGGTAAGAGCCAAGGTCAATCTACGATAAACATATCCTTATTATCTTCAAGTGTCAGCTCTATTGATATTTACTTTCAAGAGACTGTAGTCAACAAAGTAATGTAAAATGAGCTCTGTTTGTTAGAAAGATAATAATTTGAAATTAAATCATGGAACAATTTTTAACTAAGAATCTTTGCCATCGTCAAAAATTTTATCATTTACAGATCTAGCAGAAGACAGTGCACCCAACATGGGTCTAAAACCACATTTACTGATCATAGCAGGGGTCCTTCCAGCTTTAACGGAATTTCGTTTTTTGAATAATAGGATTTTACCCCTTTTAAGTAAAAAACTTGAACAATCATATCGAAGTCCCATCAAAAGGCTTTACTACTTTAGGCATCAAAAGAAGTGTTTATCCTTTCTCTAGCAAATGAGTCAAAATCTGCTTAGAAGAATTGACACAAGCAGGGTCTAGGCGTGATGACTGGAAATTTTATTCTTTTCTTGGCTCTATACATACTCAGTGTCATATCGATGACGTAAATCAAACATTAGCAAAACTTTCAATTCATTTGTTAACATTGATTTTTAGAAAAACTTAGAGAGGCCACATGGCTATAAATGAAAAATATAAAATAAATGTTAAAATCACAATAGCACATTGCACAAACAACATACCAGCCATTTGAAGATTTCAATATTTCCGACCCACTAGGTTTTAGCCTCACAATCTCAAGTACTCAAGAAATCGTTTCGCAAATAAGAAGAATGTTAAGAGATTCTTCTTACCTGGATGTAAGGATTGTTATCATTTGGTGACCAATGCGCGAATGTTTGTGAAGCGGTCCTTGGTGTATTGAATAAACGCGCCATAGATGGGGAAGATCCGGACAAAGACGAGCTTGCGGTAATACGACTGTCCGGTATTTCTTTTGTGCTTAAACCAAGTGGCTTGACACAGCCTATCAAAACATTGAAAATATATTCAGGATTTGAATTCATATAACGATTACACATATGTTATGGTTCTTGTTATGAATGGCAAACTCATACATACCTTGTCTAAACACCTCCGGGAATTATTATCTTGTCAATAAGATAATTATAATTAACATTATAATTTTAATTTTAATTGGCAACTTATTGGCAACTTGCACAGTGTTTGCATTATTCATATCTTTTGGAACTGAATGCCAAATATGATGTCCTTTCTATCGGACTGTTTACGTTCATTTGGAGTGAAAATGTTCTTGGATGTCTCAGGGTATAAGCAGCATTTCTTTCAATGATAATTCATAATAAAAATGGGGTTTAAACGATTCATTGAACATTTCAGTCATAAACAGTTGCAGATTTATCTTGCAAATCGTTGCAGATCTCTCGTGCAGTCAATTAATTTGCTACATGTGCTTCTGCTTTGGAACATTCAAAGCACGTCTACTTTCTTTTCCTCTTTCTTTATAAAAATTATAATTTGCTCGCATATGAAAAGTTTAATGCTGGGGACGAAAATAAACTTGGGTCGTTTTAGCTGCCTTTAAATTCTGAGAACTGTTGCATTCACTGAAGGATTATAACGTCATCTGAATATGACAATCAACAAAATCTAGAATTCTTACTGTATTGATACAAGTCATACTGTGCAGCCTTTTCAGCAGTTCCCTCGTGGATGAGCAATGACTTAGTGTAGAATGTGCACCTTTTGGCACTTTTGTCGAAAATGAATGATCTGCATTTGTACCCCATCTGAGAAGAGGTGCATCTTTGGGCGCAAAGCTTTGGGTGGCTGTGTGATTCAGTCGATATCACAGAGCGTAGATGTGAAGGAAGTTGCCACTCTTTTAGCACTTGATATTCTCTTAGGTCGTTGCGGACTAGAAATTAACAAAACAAATATATTATTTGGAATTGTAATAGCAATGAAAATAATTCGAGTTGCATATAGCGGACCTAAATTGGCTTTAAATGGAGCACTTGATAAAATGTGACATAGATAAAATAAAGTTAAAGGTCATGATCAGTCAAGGCAAAGTAAAAAAACTTTCGAATCTCTTCTTGACAGCATTATTGTTAAGAAAGAAGACCAATGAAAAAATGGATGCATAATTTGACATGTCTAACTATTTAACAAAAATGCTGTAAAATTATCATATAATGGGGCAGACAGAAAAAAGTTGTTCATAGAATCATTTTGTAAATCTTCATTGATTTTAGCGCCCATTTTGTGTTTTGTTTTGATTGATGGATGACACAATCAGTTATAGCTATGGCAACAAAATCACTCACAGTCGCATGCAAGCGAGGGCTCAGTTTTGATGATATTTCCATGACTCTGCTCACTGAAATCAGCCCATGCCAAAACATCACCAGCGGTGTGTTTACAAGACATTGTTAAATCATAAATTTCATTTGCAGACAGAACTCTTTTCCAAACATTTAGCTGGCTCATGTCACCAAAAAACGATTCTGTTGGCGTAAATGAGCCACCAATCTCATCTTGTTCCTCTCCAACGACAAATAGACCACCTTTTCCAATCACTTGTCCTTGTTGGAATGCAGCAGTTGATCTGAAAGAGAATAAACATCGATAAATGTACGTCTCCAATGAGCAATTTCCAGCAGCGTTCTAAATTCACTTTGTTTGGCGCTTGAGATTTTGGGATGGTGACTCGATATAATGTTATCAATTCAATTGCTTTATCTTAGGTATTTTAGGCAACGTATGAAAAGAAGCAACTACATAAATAATTTTACAAAAGTGACGGTTCTTTCTTAAGAACATTCAATGTGATTATTTCTTATTTATGTAAATTTATACCGCTTGAGTTCTGCGCCATCTTTGTATGCAATCCAAGTGCCAGTTGCACTTGACCAGGTAACTGCAATGTGGTGCCATTCTCCATCATTAGCAGAGAAGCCCAAATTCGCGGTGACGTTGTTGATAGTCAAGTCAAAACTTGAGTAGTCAGTCAATACAAAAGCATTGTCGTCTATCTTTCCATTATGTGTGTTTGCATATGAAAGCGGAGTTCCTTTGCTGTTAAGATCTGATGTTCGCATCCAAAATGCAACTGTTAATTGCGACAAATCGTATTTTCCTTCGATAGCTGAGAATGTTGGGGCCTCTCGGTTTTGGAATCCGATATCAAAATCGCTTCCTAGTTCTAAAAAGGGCGACAAAGTAAACTTAAGAGTAACAGACGTAGGCTTTCTAGATTAAACTTTTTAGCACATTTGGATGTTTAGAACTACATTGTCAGTATTGTATATTGCTGCCTCTCTTCCAAAAGGTCATTGACTTTCACAGAATACGTATGAATTTTCAACCAAAGCTAGCAATTTTCAGATAAAATGAAAAGACTCCCACGAAAGGTGTGCGAGTTCTTCACGGAGTGACTTGATGAATCTGTGATTCAAAGACGAATCTCACAATGTGGGATTTACTTTATGATGCTAAAAAATGAGATGCACATAGTCATAACTAGGTATCGTTTCGTTTGTCAAAATAAAAATAGAGTCAAACTTAGAAAGAAATTTTCGATGAACTAACTTTTGTCGCAGAGTTTCCCTCCATAGCCTGGTAAGCAAGAGCATTTAACGTCTGTGCTCAAATCCTTGCATGTTACACTATGTTTGCATGTGGTGTGTTGGCACATGTTTGTTTTCTGTTCACAACGAAGTCCAAAATACGGCTCCTTACAGTTGCATACAAAACCATATTTTGAATCTGAGCATTCCCCACCATTCATACAAGGTTCACTTGAGCAGAAATTCATGTTTGTCTCACATTGTTTCCCAGTAAATCCTGTCACAAAAAATCATGACTAGGTTACTACTAATTTGAAAGAAAATCCCAAGCTCGATTATTTCTTGAAACAGTGTTTACAGAAAACACAGTTATATAAACGTAGTTTTTTATGATTATCAGCAGTTTTCACAAAATTAAACAGCATGTCATAATATTGCACTGAGCTTTCAAGTAACACAAGCAATAGCCTTTCTTCGATGCTTTATAACTTACAGCACCATTGAAATATCAATCGCTGCATACCTTGGCAGAAATTGGAATTGAAAAAAATTATAGAGGATTAATTTGTGAAGGTTAATACCTGTCTTGCACTTGCAAGTAAAGTCGGTCCTAGTGCTTTCACAAACACCGTCATTTTTGCATGGCTGATCTTGACAAGCATCAATGAATGTTTCGCAAAATTGGCCCGTATAGCCATCGTTACAAACGCATTTGAAAGAATTATCCGCCAAATCCCTGCATTGACCATTCTGACCACAAAATCCTGCCCTACATGTCCCGATTAGGGTTTCACAATTTTTGCCTGTTGATCCAGCAGAACACACGCACTTGTACCCTTGGAACTGAAATCAGAAAGAGGTTACAATTTTTCCCCTCTCTTTATTGAGAGCTTACATACGAAGTAAGACCAAACAAAACCATTTGGAGTCTTTCACACTTTTGCCATTATTAATGCAATGCAAGCAGCTAAAATGATCTGCAAGCAGCTAAAATGATCTACAAGCACCAACAAGAAACTTATTTATGAATATGTAAAACGTAAAAAGTGTATATAATGTATATGAATATGCCAAAACTAGCAAAAACCTTATCCAGACACTTTCCACCGTTTAAGCATGGCCTCAAAGCACATTCGTCGACCTCTTTCTCACATCTGCTTCCCCAAAACCCTGCCTTGCATTCACATCTAAAGCCAACTTTTAGATCAATGCAGTGGCCACTATTTAGACATGGACTCGACGAGCATGAATCGACATCTACAATAAAATTGAAATTTGATAAACTGCAAGAAATTTAGAGTTTCCTAATGATGCCTATGCTGGTAAAAGGAATTAAGCAAGACGCAGTAAAGTTATTAAACCTAGAGCTAGGATATTTTTCCTGTGATAAAAGAGTTGTTATCTATTTACTGAAGCTGCCATTTCACATTCGATGCTACCGTATATGATATGCTTATAAACGGCAGAGAAGTGTTAAAAAGCATATTTGAAATCAATTTGACATGCTACGTTGGAATATCGTTGCTAGACTAGAAGTTCTTTATTGCATCTCTAAAGGCAATTTATAGTTTCATGAATGCAAAAGTATGAGAAACTCGGATGGGAGTGCATGATGGGCGATGGTATCGAAGATTGTGTCATTTTTTACAGTTGAGACAATCAAAAACACCATAGTATCTGTTAAAAAAAATTCGTCCTGAAAGAGAGACATCTTTCATGATTCGAAACCCACGAAATTTTGCCCTAAATGTTTGCAGGATAGTTCATTTTACCAATAGCCATTTTAGTAACACAGTTTATGAATTTAATCTTCGCGACAATGAAAAATACATTCAAAATCAGAATATAAACAGATGTTAATGTCTCTCATTCGACCTCTGAGTTAAGCGTACTTGTTAATAGAATTTTCATAGAAGCTACAGTTTAATTCACCAAGAACACTAGAAGATTATCTTAAAGAAAATGCACAGCAGCAGCAACAACACTACTCCTTTTTCAATTTCTACACACCTCTAAAACTTTAAATCATGTTAAAAGTTGTGTTTGAAAATTGTAAATGTCACAGACAAGATGAGCTTGTGTCTTTCTCAATTACAAGCAGCACAAATTTGTGTAGTTTCAGTTGTAGTAAACTTCTAATTTTATTAAAATAAAAGACACAAAAATATTTGCCAGACCAATAGCCATAAAATTTGGATATGACTATCCAGAGTAACCGTTGCCTGTGCACTCGCAATTGGTTAATTTATTTACACAATCATCTTGGAATGATTATGAAGATGACAGCACAAAAATTTTGTAAAACGTAACAACCATATTGGGAATGCGTATAACACAGCGATATTACAAAACAAAAAGTTTTAGAAAAGGAGCAAAATGGAAGGGAGGGAAATACACCCTAGAGAAAAACGAAGAAAGGTTTGCTAAGACATTCTTACACTAGATTTTTAAGGGACCAGTTTCCTTTAAACATTTAAAAAATTCTCATATGACTGGTTTTCAAGGTGAAAAAATTGTCTTACCAACACATTTTGATAGGTCATCAGCCCCTTCGCCGTACGTCCATTGCAGTCCTGGGCAATCAATGCAGTTCACTTTGCCGTCTTCATGTTGATAAGTACCCTGCTCACACGGCGAGCATGATTCAACTCCTGTTACTGAGTAGGTACCAGGCTGGCAACTTGCTACAAAATATATTTATAGTGTTTGCTTAAAACTTTTCTTTTTGTTGAATCAGAATGTTTTTTGTTACGTTTGAACGAGATTGATACTTCAATGACTGTAAATCTGCTTAAATTCTATTATAATTTATCGCGAATCGCTGATTAAGCACTCCCTCAAATAACAAACCACTCGACTAAAAATCCGAACGAGTTAACAACCTCGTACTTAAATAAAAGACACTTGCATCGAAGTCACGAAGTGTATAGTATAATTCATAGTGTTAAAATAAAGGGTAGTTAACATTTTTGCAATTTTTTACTTAAAATAAAGGTTAAACCTTCTTTGAAGATTATGTTTCTGCCATATATCATGCGCCCTCGTCAAAAAAATTATTAAAAGGCTTGGCATTTATTCTATAATTTGCGATAGTTGAGTATTCCTTCAAGTTAGGTTTGCACCTCGAACAGAGATTAAAATCTAAAATTTGAATTGCTCCCGAATCCAGATACTAGGCACCAGAAGTATGCGTATTTTCCAGGAGTTCAAAAAAATAATTTTGTTTCAATGGCTTCTTAATGACTTCCCATCTTTGGAAACTCATCTTAACAAACTCTCCTTTGAAAAGTAACACATACCCTAATCATCTAGATAAAACCGTGCCCACTGCCTAGTGTGTATAACTTAGAACCGAGGGTGAGGAAAATAATATACGAGTATAATATACGGTAATATAGAGACTTTCATGAGTAAATAAACACTAAGCACAAATGCTCTATTTCGACCACTTACTCAGTTCTTAACCAAGCGAGAAACAATATTGAATTTCACAGCTTCCTACTTCGATACTTTAAGAAACACAAGAGAGAACATTTTTTACTGCATATTTTCTTAAAATGCATTGAATAACACAAAGACCTTACTTACTTCCACAATCATAGCGAGACTTTGCCCCGGGTGTCACTGTCGTTGTACCTGCAGGACAGGAAACGTAACTCTTTTTCCCTGACCCTTCAACGTAGGTGCCTGGAGGTGCTGTTTTACAAGGAGCAAAACCAGTATCCGAAAATTCTCCTGGCTTGCATAACTCTAAAATGATGAAATATCATAGAAATTCGTTTCGTGCTGGAATTTGTCATCAGAAAGACAAGAAAGTACAGTAAGATTGCATTCCATATAATTGAAAGAAAGCTGAAGCAATTTTGCCAATCAAAAAATGTTGCCCAAGAATGTATCAAAAATTTTGCCAAGGAAAGTAACAAAAAGCTTGACAAGGATTGCAGCAAAACAAAGCGCAGTATCAACAATACTAGCAAAAAAGTAAGTAAGCATCATGTTATCAATTCTGCAGCAAAAATTGGGGTAAGAAATGTAGCTACTTCCAAAATGTAGAATTTGGCCTAGGATCGTAGCTAATTTCAAAATTAGGAAAGCGAGGTACTCACTTCTACAGGATGTTTCATTTCTGACGTCATTTCCTACAGTCGTACTTCCTTCAGGACAGGAAATGCATGACGTAGCTCCTTCGTTTGGTTGGTAGGTTCCCTTTGGACATGGCTGGCAAGTACCAGTTGCCAAATTTTTAAACTGCCCAGCAATACATCCAGCTAAAATGCAACGCAATGGGTGAGGTTCCACTCAAGTCATCGCTAAGACTTTATTTGGTTGGAATGTCGAAATAATATGGAAAGTTATTTTAATGAAAGCATAGACGTACGAAGCATTTCAAAAAGGGTGGTACATGTTGTCATAACAGGGGCACCTCAGTAAGCTGCAAATAGGTACTTTAACTATGTATCTGAAAAGTAGGGGGCACGTGCTCCCCCTTATTCCCCCAAATTCTCCCTGTTTCCACCTGATTCCCCCTGATTTTTCCTGATTCCCCTGTTTCCACCTGATTCCCCCTTCCCTGATTTCCCCTGATTCCCCTGATTCCCCTGATTCCTGATTCCCCTGATTCCACCTGATTCCACCATGACAACCCTGGTTCCACCTGATTCCCCCTGATTCAACCTGATTCCACCTGATTCCTCCTGACTCCCTCTGATTCCCCCTGATTCTCCCTGATTCCCCTTGATTCCCTCTGGTTCCACCTGATTCCCCCTGATTCCACCTGTTTCCTCCTGACTTCCTTTGATTCCCTCTGATTCCCCCTGATTCCACCTGATTCCTCCTGACTCCCTCTGATTCCCTCTGATTCCCCCTGGTTTTCCCTGATTCCACTTGATTCTCCCTGGTTCTCTGTGGTCCCTCCTGCTTCTAACGTCTATGCATAAAAGACCCTCCCTTTTTTAGCTCTGCCCCTTGACAGTAAACTGTCACGTTAACATACGACACAAACGATTGATAAATTTGTAAAAGTTTTCATAAAACTACCTGCATTATATTTGTCTTTCATTACCCTTATAGTCACAACAGTCAATTGAAATGGTGATGCTAATACAAGAATCCAAAGCTGACTGGAAACAGGCAACATAAACTTGCAATACGATTTTCGACATTATGTTTCTAAATAGGCCAATCAGAAACGCAAGCACATGAATTTGATTTGCAAAAAAACGATTATTAGTACCGCATCGTTTGTCACTAGTTTCTTCTTCATTGTACACTTCACCATCTCCAGCACAAGACAGTTTAAGGTTGTTGTCGGAATATGGATCTCTTGAAAATCCTTGGATGCTTTGGTCAATGGTTTGAGGAGGCGTCGACTTCATCTCTTTTATGACATTAGGCAATACGTCATTTTGCATTCTTGTTTTCATCTCATTACCATCGGGGTCCTTGAATAGATTAGCATAAAGAGTCAATGTTTAATAAAAGACATTCAGCAAGTGAAAATCTCAACAAAACTGGGTAGCAGACAGTGAAAAACAGCTGGTAGGGGAGGGAAAGGATCGATAGGAGATTGAAGAGAGGGGGAATAGGATAGGAAAGGGGTGAAAATGGTTTTTACTCGGTTACTCGGTTTTAAAGAAAGTGCTTGAAGTTCTGCGACGTATTTCACATTCGTGAGGGTAGAAATGCAAATACATTATGAAATTGTGATTCCCATTGTAGAATCGCCATTGAGTCTTTTCTGAACCAGGCTGACAATAAAACTTTGTGGATTTACATTGGTGCCATGACCCGGGCTAAGAAATATGATTTTTCTAGCTAGTAAGAAATTTTCATGAATAGAGTCAGTGAAACAAATGCTTTCCGACTTTTGATTGAAAAGGCTCAAGCATAGCAAAAATACGGAAAGCGCTTTGAAAAACAAGGTGCTAAGATGGAACCGAGCAAAGGAAGCAAATAACAAAGAAGAAAGGCCGACAGCCTGAGTGTTTCACGCCAAAGGTCGACAGCCAAAGTTATGAAAGATAGAAGGGGGAAGTTGCCCCGAACGGCGGAGGATGTCTTTATCTAAGCAGAGATTTCAACACACGCTCTTGATTAAGACAGGCTTTTACTGAAAGTTGAATTTTTCATTCAAACCGCACTTTCCTACAGATGTAAAATTCAGTAAATTCTTAAGCTTACCTTTTTAGCATCTTCCTTTGATGTGGTAACTTTCAATTCGATGCGAATAGACAGATCCTGTAACGATCTTCTCGCTCTTCGTTTTACAACACTGGTAGGTCCACAATGAGCCTTCATTCCTTCTTTTGTACACTGATCTCTGCACAAGGCCTTTAAGGATGTTTTAATTTTTTCTTGCGCTGCTGCGCTGCTACAGTCTCCATTGTACTGATAACTCATGAACAAGTACACATTAAGTCCAGAAGGCGCTGTTTTAGCTAAAAAGCAACGAGTCCCACATGTTGAATAGACTTTACCATGCTATTTCAAGTGCCCGAAACGAATGCAAAGAATTAGCACAAACTTTTCATTTTTAAACGGGATTTTTAAAGGTTTCGCTTTCTGCTGAGGTGCTTCTAACTTTCGAAAAGCTTCGGCTAAATTCCTTGGTGTACAAAGAAAAACATAAGTTCCTATCAACATTGCTTAACGAATGACAGTCTACTGATGTAAAAACAATTCTTTATAAAAAAACAAACATTTTCAGATTGAAATAGGGAATAGAAACACTTAGGGGCACATTGTAGAAATGCATTCTCTTAGCAGGGCACCCTAGAGGGGCAAGAGGCAGTGTTTGACATAAGGTACGGGGACGTGCCATTATTTAGGGGTACCTTTATGTCGAGCGCTATTCAGTGCAATGTCGGGTTCGTTTAAAAAATGATTACTAGCATCTCAATGAAGAAAGCTGTCATCGAAACTAGGGTTGAGCAACCATGATAAAGGTAAAATTACTTACAGATACAGTCAGGAATTAACTGGTTAACAGTTCTTGGCGGCGCATAGACTCCTACCCATTTTTCGTTCATGCATTGGTAGAAGATAGGAGGGACTTCATTCGGGAAAAGGCCAGTTGGACAGGCAATGATAGACATTGACCCATAATCTACCGACATACCATTTCGCGGAGGAGGAAGAGGATCACATGTCGGTGCTGTTATGAAAGATTAAAAGTAGATTAAAAAGAATTTTAGGTGTGAAGCCATAGAAATTACAATTATGGCCTTTTAGGGTATGAAGTCCAAAGTTAAAAGTACTAGAAATATATTTAATGATGTCATCACTTACGAACTTCATTCAGCCGTTATCTAAATGTAAACCTATAATAAATAACATCTAACAATATACAAGAGAGGAAAAATATTTGCACCTTCAGGTCTTCCATAAAAAGTGCGGGTGTCCACCTAAATATCATTTCAGCTTTGTACACCAATTGGGAGATGAACTTTCATCATACAATGAAAATAAACTTATTTACACAATTATTTTGATAAGAGGTAGCACTTCTAGCTTTACAAAAAACTTCTTAAATGTACCTTTGATAATCACGTTGAATATGCATTTTTCATTGGAATTCCCAGACGGGTCAGTTGCCTTGTAAGAAACTGGTGTTGTTGATCCTTGTTGAAAAATACTATTGGGAGGTGTAGGCGTGTAAATATCTATTTGGCACTCAGAACTGTTGCCACAGTTGTCGGAGTAGGTCGGCTCTGTCCATATAACTCTTTCCTGTGTCTTTGAAGTTTTCTTTATAATGTTTTCGTCTGGACATTTTAACAGCTTCGGTTTCTGCTTATCTGAAATGGAAATTATATACATTTAGAAAACTTTGGTAGATACCAATTTCTTTACTCTTACAAAAAATATCGTTGCTTGTCTGCTCTTTTTCTGTACGTGAAAACACATTTGCGCAATTGGATAAAAGATATCTAAAATCAAAACATACATATGCTGAAGTTACAAAATTTGAAGCATTTTAGCACAAAGGAAATCAGGACGATTGATACTCAACCTAGAATTTCAACGAAAAATTTGCACTCGGCCTTGTTATTGCTAGCATCTGTAGCAGTGAATTTGATAGCCAAACTCTTCTTGATATCTGTGATTCCAATGTTATATGAACGACCAAGCTGGTAGCCAGGAGGTGTACTTTCTATGGTGATTGGGCCTCCGCTGTTGTCGGTAACACCGATTGCGTCAAAATTGATAACACCGTATGACCGGTCCAGCAGGGTTGTGTTTGAAAGACTGATTCCATTAGCACACTCATTTTCATTAGCAAATTTTGGTCTTTGTATGTCTAAGAAGAACACGGGTGTTATTATTTTGAAAAAAACAAAACATTATATCTTTTGGCAAATTTATAAAGTTAATCTTTACTTTCAAAGCAACGAAAAGGCAACGAGAAAACAGAATATTGAGCTGCTATCACGATAATCTACCTGTGCAATTGGGGGCTACAAAATTTCCGGCACCAGTTGTCCATTTCCCTACCGGTCCGTTGTTGTTTGAACAAGTTACCGATCTTGATCCGCTTAACTGGTAGCCTAACGGACATTCAAAACTACAGATTTCTTCGACTTTTGTTTCTCTCTCAAAGCAATTAACAGCAGCGCTCCCAGTCAACAACTTTTCATGTCCTTTTGGAATTTTAGGGCAAGCAATTTCTAAAAATGAATAAAACTATTGATTGATAGAATCTGCATTAGGTACAGTCCCTACCAAAGGTCTTGGAACACTAACGTAAATTTTCAAAGGCAAATTCAGCCACCCGCCTCTCTTACTAGGAACAATGTTGATTTACTAAAAGAGGAAAGGGGTTATGGAGCACGCTTTTCGTGTGGCTTGTATTTTAAACTATAAACATTGTTCTTGGGGGAAAGGAGGGTGGAAGTAGTAGCATTTGGAAAAACAAATGAAAAACAGAAAAGCACAGCGCAAAGTGTTGGGCGTTCTAAGTAATTTTGGCAGTAAATGTAGAAATTTATTCTACAAATGGAAGGTTAACAAATTCTCAAACACGGTCGGTATGTCTATGTCTTGAAAATGAACTCCAAATCTTGAACAACACTAAGTTTAAAATTAAGCTTAAAAAACGAAAATAAAAAAAGCAAAACAAGGTTCTAAAAATTGTAACGAAAAACAAATGATTTTGTAAAATTCTGATAAATTAAGGCTGATGCAAATTATGAGCAGCGGCGGCACCCTGTTACCGAACCTATTAACTTATGGCAAAATAATCAATAAAATATCTTGCCTGTAGAGGCCATTTTAAAAGAAATAAACAGCTGTATGAGTTTTAGCCAAGAGACTCAATTAGCTATCACTCTGTCTTACAATACAAACCCACGACAGTGGAATATTGCTAAAATCTTGTTTCCTTTAATACATCATGCTAAGAAGTACATCGCAACAATAATCTACTTGTAAATACCTTTGCAGGAGAATTCTTCTCCAGACCATGTCTCTGATGAAAGGCACTCCCTTACTTTTGTTCCGTTGAGATGAAAGTATTTGTTTCTACAAGTGTAGTTGCATTTTATCCCTACACCGTAGGAATCAGATGCAACATCAATATTTCCACGGCAAAGTACTTCGTAGCTATTCGTATTCTGCATGATGGCTGCTGGGCACCTCAAGGCTAGCAAAATGGGAATGTCAGTTTGATAAATATGTTGTGCAAAAGCCATGCTTAAACCGAAGGTATTTCACATTGTTGAGACAAAAAAATGCAGACGGATGTGACAACATAAAGTCCAAAGATACGAAGTTTCAAGTTAGACTATTAAAGTACATATTTAATAACCTCACCCTGTCTTCATGGTGGCACATTAAAATTGAGGTTTAGGCCATTTTAGAGGATTTCGGACCAATAGGACGTTAAGAGGATTTAGAACCGATATTCTTTAACTGAAGATTACCCCGTATATAGAGATTAGAGAATAAGGAGTTCAGAGGCAAAGTGGCGAAAAAATAGGGGCTCGGAGATCCCGACCATCCGAATCCTCTTTTGGCTTACAATCCAAAATATTCTACATCCCTAAGCTTTTACCATTACCAAATTAGGACAGCTGCTCCCTCACAAATCTGCTTAGTTTATCATGCTGTATATATGCAGACAAAAAACCATTCACAGCGAAAACATCCTCTTGAATGACGCAATTAAAGGAATCAGCTGATCAAATTTGGAACTTTGTATTTCAGCCAATTGTATGCCTTTATCTAACAGTGATATTCTTGCCGAGAGGGAAACTCAAGAAGATTCATTAAATTGCTTTTTGAACGTTCTGAGCCTATTTGGTGAAGAATTATTCCCGATCAAAGAGAACACGATTGATTGAGGATCATTGTATCACACCATGAATAATGAGAAAGGGAAACATGTTGACAAAACAAACCATGCAAAGTGTATATTGCAAACTTGAATATTCAAATATGATTTTATAATATGGTCAGCAATAAGATTCATTCACTGAGATCAAGGAATAGGCTAGGGTTTTATTAGCTATTTGAAAATTTGAAAATAGTAACATTAGGACCATCTTTTGGTCACACGTTGGAAAAATTGGAGTTACGTTGCTTGGCGAAGCGGTTGTAGATACTGAGGGCACAATCTATATCATACAACTCATTTTTTGTGCTGTTCTTCTTTTACAAACTGCTTTGAAAATATTATGTTCAAATCAAGAACATCTACTTCATAAAACTCAAAACGGGAGCTTAAAATGGGTTGACTGAGTAAATGCATCGGGGGTATGACCCCCGATAACTTCAACGTGTGACTGACGCCCTTAACCCGCAACATATGTGCCTCTGACTTCCTGCAGCAATTTTTGTCAAAATTACATAAGGTAACGATCTACAACAATACAAAACAATAGATGAACAGTGTCCAGTACTTACGTAAGCACGTTGGAGTAGATCCCGAGAAAATTCCTTTATGGTTACATGTTAAAACATCATTGCCATGCAATTTGAATCCTCCATTGCATCTGAAGATACATTTTGCACCGTATTCATTCTTTCCGCATTCAGTGGGGTTGTCAATGAATCCATTATTGATACCGTTCACAGGATTACACTTTACCTCTGAAGAAAACAATGAACAGTCTCTAAGCCTCAAATGCAGGTGATGTTTTCTACACAAATAATTATCAGATCGTTAAATAATCATTTATCAAAATGAAATTGTACCTCATTTGAACAAATTATCTCATTTTATACCATGATGGTGATATTAGTGAAACCTGTTTTGCAGAAGTACTCGAGCAAAATTGCCCCTTTGTCTCCTGTACTTTCTTAGCTTTCTTTAAAGAGACAGAGAAAACAGAATCTAAGATGCGTGCAGCATCAAGTTGTATGGGTATAAACCAACGGATACCTATAAAGGCATTTGACTCAAAACTTGATAAAAATCACACAAAAGAAAACAAAAGTGTGAAGCTTCAGTCTTCTGTTACAGCTGTTGTCTCTGTACTTTTTGCCTTAGCTCTTTAGCTTTGTCTCTATAGCTGTTTTCGCATTGGCTTTGATTGGCTCGGGGGCGAGCGGGGCCTTGTGGCTTCAAATATTTTCTTGACGGATGAAAATTTTGATCTTTTCATGTGATTTATTTATCTAGATTTAATGTTATCAAAGATAAAACCTTAGAGATTGTGGTATTTTCTAACTACAAAAAAACATGGACTGACAATTATGTGAAATATTATGATATAATTAAGCATAATAAAACAAAGTAAAATAAAATATAATAAGATATAATGAAATGAAATAAAATATAATAATATAATATAATAATATAATGAAACATAATATCATATAACATTACAGAACATAACATAACATAACATAACATAACATAACATAACATAACATAACATAACATAACATAACATAACATAACATAACATAACATAACATAACATAACATGACATAACATACAATAACATAACATAGCATAACAT